ATTGAGAGAAAAACGGACCTGTCATATGATTGTTATTGTATAGATCGTTTTTGTTTTTTATTTGTTTGTTTTTTGTTATGATAATATTGTTGATAATACCGGTAAAACAAAAAACAAAAAAAAAAGATTTTTTTAGATAAAATGTGTCAATCAAAAGAAGATATTCTTTTATGGTTGAAAGAATTTCATGAAGCTAGTGCTTCTCTTAATGCTGAATATTTTATTAAAAAATTTTTCAATGATGATGCTATTTTACAATTTGCTAATAATTCTATTATAAAAGGTCATGAAAATTTAATTAAGAATTTTCAAAAACAATTTGATTCATTAGATATGATGCATCATGAAATAGAACATTTTGATATTTTACCTGATAGAATTCATCAATATGCGAAAATTTTATATAAAGTTAAAGGTGATACAGAAATTATATCTATTCCTGGTTTAGCTGTTTTTCATAAAACAAAAGATGAACAGAAAATCAAAAGATTTGATGTTTTTTGTGATCCATCACCATTAACTGACAAAATTCAAGCGATTCATTCAGCTCAATAAAATTTTTATTATTATCCAAGAAAATTATTTAAACTTTGATTATATTCTATAGATATATTAGAATAAGCATTTTAACAATTTTGTTCAATGGCTAAATAAAAAAGATGTAGATTATCTAGTTTTTTCTTGATAGTTAAAATAGATCTTGTTATTAACGAAGATTTTTTTTCAAATAAATAAAACTCTTGAAATATTCTATATTATAATTGATAAAAAGGAATAATTTACATAAATATTTTGAATATCTCGAAAACAATTGGAGCTTTTTGTTGTTTTATATATTTAGTGCTATTGAGTAAAACTGAGTTATGTGATATTTTTATGTTGATTCATGATCGTATTATTTTAGATTGTGAATAATAGTATGATAACGTCAGTGATGTTTTTTTGCAAAGAGATACCGAACGTGACAATTATTCATAAAAAAAATATTTGACGCATTTTTATGCTTGAATAATCTTTAACGTTTTTTTCCCTAGTAGATACGTATATTATGACAAAGAATATAAATACTCGGTAATTTCCACCGTGTTTTATAATACAATTTGATAACTACGAATTTTTTACATTTCTTTTAATATATTTCAATAAAAATGTTCGGTGGTGGCTTCGGTGGATATGGAAATAATCCATTTGCTGGTGGTTTCGGTGAATTAGCTTCTGATTATGCTATTAATCGTATGGTACCAGGAGGATTAAATAGTAAGTTTTATAAAATATTTTTTATTTAAATTAATAAATTAATTTAAGGTCCAATGGGAATGATCGTTGATAATATGTTTGGTGGAAATCCAAATGGAGGAATGGGAATGGGAATGGGAATGGGTGGTGGATTTGGAGGAAGTCCATTTGGTGGAGGATATAATGGTGGATACGGAGGCGGTTATGGATATTATTAAACTGTTTTTTTAATAACTCTAATGTACAGTTAACGACATTTTATTGTTTCTTAATGTATATTGAAATAAAACCTTATTGATCATTGTTTGAAATAGTTAAATAAACTGACGACCAGAGAAAGCATTTAATACACTTATATTTTTCTTTATTCTCAGTTAAATAAATGATTGCACTCATTTAGTTATTTATTTTTTATCCCTATACTCTGATTATTATGGTTGTCAACTATAATTAGAAAATTTATATAAATAAAAATATATATATTATGTTTAATGAGTAATATTGACTCAAATTATTAATACGATCGATGAATATCAGTTCTTCACGGATCATCAGTTTGAGAATATTTTGTATGTTTGAATAAATTTATGAGAATAATAATGAAGACATGAGATTTTAATGTAATTTGAAAATAAATCTAGAATATGTAATGAAAATCTTATATTTTTAATAATAACGAAAATTTTGGATCATTCTTTCGATCATTATCAACTAAAAACACATAACCAAGAATATACAAATATAATGAAGTTACAAGAGCACGTTACTATAGATACACGAAAGACTTTAACTTTAACAACATAAATATTTACATGAATACCAATGACAAACGAGATCGAATCAACATCGGCTGTCATTGATATTCATGTAAATGGTTATGTTGTTAAAGTTTACGTTTATTCTATATTGATAATTGTAGCTGTAACGTTTTGTTGTAACTTCACTATATTTGTATATTCTTAGTTGTGTTTTTGGTTGATAATGATAAAAAATTTCCGTTATTGATAAAAATATAAGATTTTCATTACTAGGGATGTCACAATACTTATTTTACCAATACCAATACCAATACCGATACCAATACCACCCAGTACCCAATACCAATACCCCAATACCGTATTGGTATTGTGACATCCCTATTCATTACATATTCTACATTTATTTTGATTTATTTTAAAATAGAAAAAATTTATTATAAAGTAGTTAGGTTAACTTAAGAAAAATAAAATTTAATTAAAATAATTTCTTGTCTTTACGAATTCTTATTATTCTTATCTATATAATTGGTGAGTTAAATGAATTTTTATTTGATATAAAATTAATTTTCAATGAAAAAATTCATATAATATATTTTCTTTTCTATTAAGCGTAAGTGCATTTTCATTAAATAAACTTCTATCAGCAATATAAATAATGTTAATAAATTTTGTTTAATTATTCTTAGTGAATTATATATACAATCAACATTAAATTTCAATACATTTATTGGTTCAATAATTGTTTTATTTAATGGAGGTTTTTTATACACAAACAAAAAACAATTTCAAAAATTATTCTTTTTGTTATACTATTAATTAATTAAAATTTAATTCTATTAAATATTTAAAATGGAAAAACATTCATCGCACAATTATAATCAATAAAATACGACATGATTACTTAAACAATTCACTATTAGTCGATCTTATTTGTTTTGTTCGATGAATGAAAGTAAGAAGTTTTGATTTGTACGGATCAAATTCCTTGATTGTATATTTTTACTATAGCCTGTAGATCGTCAAATCTTTTATTATTGTAATGAACACTGTAAAATAGAAAATAAACTTTTTTGAAGGATATTCTAGAAATGCCTATACGAATTCGACCAACATTTTCCAAGTACTTTAAAACTACTAGCGATTTTCAATCTGCTGTTTTTTGCTGAGAAATAAATTTGAGGGTAGGTGTCAGTGTATAGGTCATTCTTTTCTCATACTGCACACACTCACAACTGCACGGATCACTTGGTGCTTGGGACACCTAGTACCAAATGTCTTTGTCCCCTGAGAAATACGTCATTTTTCCCTATTATACCCACTAACTATTATCTTTTCTACAGCTTTCAGGAATTTGTTGCGTACAAATCTAAACTTCTAACTCTCATTTTTCGTTATGATTGAAGTCGGGCTAATAGTAAATTGATATGGATCTTCTATACATGTCGGAATTATTTTTAAAATAAAAACAGTTGGAAATGTATTCTTTTGTAAATGAATAGAATTTAGATTGCTAATGACGAACTTATTCATCATAGAAATTATAAATAAGAATTTTTTATGTAAAAATATTTGATTTTATTAAATTGTATTTTTTTATTATTAATTAAATATATATAATGAATATGATCAATAATAATAGTTTAGATCTATTATTTATAGATAAAGAATTAATCTAATTTTTTTTAAATTATGAATTCGGATATTTTATATATTTGTATACTTGGTAATGATCTTTAAAAAAATGGTCTTATGAAAATCAAAATGTAGCATTTATTCTGCTTAAAAGTGATATTCAAAATAATTCTGATATTAATAATTGGCTTTGTAATCAAAATGAATTAGATGGAATATCTCATTTTGCTGCAATTGTACCAATCATTAAAAGCATTTAATATTAATACACTTGAAACTTTAAATCGTTTAGAAAACTGTTGTTTACATTTTACAAAAGAAATATGTCCTTGAATATTTATTGCTTCAACTTTACATGTTTATTCATCATTATCATTAGAAGAATAATTTATTAATGAAACATCATCATTAAATCCAATTGTTATTTATGGTTTAACAAAAGCACAAACTGATGAATGAGCGAAAATTTATCGAAATAAATATAATTTACCTATATGTACTGGTCATATATTGAGTTATAGCTCTCCAAATCAAGCAAAAACCTTTTTTTATACCTTCAATGATTGAAAAAATTAAGAATGCACCTTTAAATGCTTGTCTAGATATTTTCTTACTATTCAATTACTTTTTATTAGAAAATTTATTGAAATTTTTAATATTGCAAGTGGTACAGCTATTAAACTTTTTGATATTGTTCAATCTGTGAAAGATAAACTTATCGTTCTGATTAAATAAAAAGAATTTGTTGAATATACAAAATTGATCTTTAAATCTTGAGGGTTTGTGACTGTCCGAACGAGGTGAGAATAAAACCCACACACTTTTTTTTTTTCGATCCAGAGAACGATTATTTTTGAGAACAGTCACAGTGGTGACACGATAACTGCTCATAATATGAAAAAGAAAAATCATCTAACTAAAAACTTACGTAAATAATTACCTTTGTGTATTTCGTTAATGAGAAAAAATGATATACGATTCACATTTATTTTTTCCATTTAAATCAATTATAAGATATGTACATTATATGCATGACATAAAAACAAAGATATATATATTATTGTTCCTAATTAGATGCTTGTTTTTTTCATAATGACAAAGGGAAAGAAAAACAGAGAAAAGTACATCTTATGAATCAATGAACCGTGGAGGGGAGAAACTATAAGATTCTATGCATTTTACATATTTGTTTAATTATTTTTCTACTGATATTGGTAGTGGTGACTATTGGGTATTGGTATGCCACCAATACCAATTACTTATTTTGTATGTTTTTTAATAAAATGATAGATTCATTATTTGATATTTTCAGTTTTAACACGACAATTTAATTTGATTAAAAGAAGAATTGGGACATCGCTGATAACCAGAAACTTGTAAATTTCAAATGTCGAACTGACTTCTTTTCGCTATTCGATTTTCATATACAAATTCATTTTTGATTTTTCTTCTTTTTAAGACAATACTTATTCAACTAACTGACAGCTATGGTTCATATACGATTAACACGGTCTCGAACGTGAGTTTTGAATGTCTCTAATGACTTTTATCCATTTTTTTCTTATTATATAGCCTTTCTATACTTGGCCTTTTCGTAATGGCACTAATTGCCTTTGCGTGCACAGTTGCTCTTTCACTTATTCCAGTCTATGTATCGAGTAAGGATTTTAGCACCACCAATATCAAGAGAATCAACGACGACATAACGTTAATGGCCACTAGTTAGTTTTTGTTTATTATTTATATTCTATACATATATATTCTTTACTAGTAAATTCACTTAAAGCGTTCGATGCCTCTTACCTTACACCATCTGGATTAGGGAGAAAGCGCGCCGCACAATCTGTCACCAACCGTCAGACAGCTGCTCTAAACGTATTTTTTATCTTATATGTTAATTCATAATGTATAATATATTTTAGCTGGCAGCCGCAATGGGTTTCATCGTTGATTGCATCGGCGTCACTGGTATCGGCATTACAAAAGCAACTAGCGGCAAAGGTCGACGTCGCCGAGAGTAATTTTCTTTTTAATTAATTTCTGCTAATTATATTTACCTATGACTTGACATATAGTATTGAATGCGATAAAACAAATAGTTCCGGTGATGCTATCGTCTTTGGTATTGCATTGAATTATCCACCGAGTTTCCCATGCCAAAATTTGTCTTGTCAAGTAGATCTATTCGTTAATATAAGTAACAAATTCAATACTGTGACTAATGTTAATATCACGGCAGACGATGGAAGTACTTTATCTGTGGACCTTTGCCATGTTCAATCTTATCCTGACGGTGTTGATAGTAATACAAATAATTTCCATGGTTTTATCATTGGTAAGTAGGCTGTTTCTCTTGGAGCTCTTTAGCAACACAAGCGCGTTCGACAACAATGTCACTCTTCATCTTTAATTAAAATATAAGTTTTCATCATTTAAATGAAATTTTTCTTACTCTTTGAGAATCGAAAACAGTTCAATCTTGGCTATAATTGATTTATTGTTTTTCTTTTTGTTATACTTTTGTTTGAAAATAGAATCAACTACTGCAATGTCAATTATATCAACAACAATTAATGCTACAGTACCAATTACATCAACAACCACTGCTACCACAACGACGCCAGCAACAACTGCTACCACCACTGAGTCAGCAACAACTAGTACCACCACGGTGACAATTACAACTACCATCACGGAGACAACAACTACTATTACTACCACAACAACTACTACTAGTACTACCACCACCACCACCACCACAACAACAACAACAACAACTATTACTACAACCAGTAGTACCACGACAACAACTACAACCACTACCACTACAACAACAACAAGCACTAGTACCACAACAAGCACTAGCACCACCACCACCAGCACAACAACAACAACTACAACCACTAGCACTACTACCACCACAACAACAACTACTAGCACCACAACAACCACTAGTACTACAACAAGCACTAGTACTACAACAAGCACTAGCACCATAACAACAACTACTAGCACAACAACTACAACAAGCACTAGCACCATCACCACCACCAGCACAACAACAACTACGACCACTAGCACCACTACCACCACAACAACAACTACTAGTACCACAACAACGACAACCACTAGTACTACAACAACCACCAGCACCACAGCAACAACGACCACTAGTAGCACAACAACAACAACAACAACCACTACTACTACTACTACTACAATCACTAGTACCACTACCACCACAACAACCACCAGCACTACCACCACCAGCACAACAACAACTACAACCACTAGTACCACAACAACGACAACTACAACCACTAGAACCACCACAACAACAACTACTACTAGTACAACAACAAGTAAGCAAGAAAAAATATTTCTTTCCATCTCGAACACATTTGTTTGTAATCAGACAAAGTATACAAAACATTCAGTATGCTTGCTGACAGAATTGTGATCACATTTGATAGTTGAGCGATTTTGTGATACTTCGAAGAAAAAGTAGCATGATTATCAAACTTGAAAACAGAGTTTTGTATAGGCTACGAACCTTTAGTAAAGATTTTTAATTCATTTCAAAAGTTGAAATTTTCATTTCTTTTTTATCACACAAGTGCCAAGTAACATACTTTCATAACTTATATGGTTTTAACATTCATGCTTCTTTTTTATAGCTTGCCTCAAGTGTGGTGTTCAAACTTTTTGCTGTTCAACTCAATGTTTATCTGGTCTATGCTGTAACTATTTCCCGCATTTTTGTTCTGATAGTAATGGTCAACCGTGTTGTTATGGCTGTAATTCGAATGGCTATTGCTATTAGTTTAACAAATATGAACAGTTTTCTCAAAAACATTCTGCTTTTTAATTTATTGCATATAACTACATTTATTAATTTATCATAGTTTGTATGTACAATCAATTCAGTTTAAAAAACTATAATCCTTTTTTTGTACACTGTATATATTCATTTGATACTTTGTTTTCTTTTGTTTCTTTTTCATTTATTAAGCTTACTACATTAACTAACTTTCATTCCATATAATCTTCATTTTAATAAATTTTTGTTGTTACACTATATAACAAAGAATTATCATCTCCAACAATTATAAACTAAGTCAAGCTGAAGAGTCACTTGTGTTTCACAAAATTTGAGTAGATACCATAGTATATGATCTACTAATTGATGAAAATTAGATATATTCAAAATAGAAAAATAAAGTTTATTGTGTCATATTGAGAAGAGTTTATAAGAGACATATATTTATATGAAGAATGCAATAGATTTTGATAAACACAATCTTCAAAAGATCTATCGTTTTCTTGAATTTCAATAATGTAAACGAGTTTTATTATCTACAGTAATGATGCAGTATTAAGTGTGCTTGATTTTAATTATTACTTAAGTATTCAATCACGAGAACACACAGTAAAGAAGAATAGGATTTATAGATTTATTATTAACTCTTAGAAATAGATATAAACGTAATTTTCTGCCATTCAATTGATGAAAATAGAAAATATTTATCGACTATGTACATAGATATATTTCAGATTGCAAGAACAAGTATTCTAACAGCAACCACAAAAATCAAAATAAAATATGAGCCTATACTTCTCGATTTTCTCTTTGATCCTATAAAAAACAAGGTATCTATTCAACAAAAATTTTGAGTATGAGAAGAACTTTTAAAAGAAAACAGTCAGTTAGATTTATTTATGAATAACTAAAAATATTTGTGAACTAGTTTATCTTATAGAAAATTTGTCAGTGAATATAAAGTACTACATGAATAAAATGAACCTTCTTAAATAAAATTTTCAAAAAAAACAAAATCTCCCATATTTGTATCAAAAAAGAAAATAATGTGAAGGTTCAATATCTTGTAAAGCATTATCAATTAATAATTTTAAACATGTCATATTTATAACAATCGATGAATCTTCTCTTGTATTTGTAGATGCTGGATAATCAAATTTATAATCTTTTGGTTTATATATTTGATAATAATGTTTTTTAACATGAGATATATGATTTAAAAAAGCTCCTTCCATTGATCCACTTACAGTTAATGGCGCCCATGGTATACTTCCACCAGTTGATAAAGATAATAAATTAAAAATTCCATTAGGTTTACCAAATCCATATATCATATCTTTTGATGAATCATAATAGATAGGTTTTTCATTTGATCGAAAATAATAAAAATAATTTGCATCAATATTATAACAAATTTTTGAAAATATACAAAGACGTTCTCTCCATGCATGAATATCATTTTCTGATTCATTACATCGAAATTTTGAATAAATTTTATTTAATTTTTTAAATAACTAATATTTGTTTGATTATTAAATAAAATTTGTTTTGATGAAATTGAAAAATTAAATCGATATGATTTATCAAAAAGTAATAATATCATGAAAATACCAATACAAATAAATAAAATTATAAGACAGATTTTATTTTTAAATAAACATTCAGATTTTTCATTTAATTCTTCTTCTTCATTAAAGAAATTCATTATACATATAAATTTATATTTTATCTAAAATATTAGAATTATTATATATAATACAACACTCTTTACTTTTTCTATTTATTAATAACATAGAAAATGTCATTTATATACATATATATCTATTATCTGTTTATTACCATAATTGAAAATGAATGCACAAAAAATATTTATTCAATTATTCGATGACATATAGTTAATTGAATTTATAGAAGAATATAATCGTATGTGTCACAGCTTTGCATTGAACGAAAGATATTCTAAAAGAAAAGATTTTCACAGAAAACAATGATATATTATTTATAGAATCTCTTAGAATACTTGCGAAAAATCTTTCATCTCACGTGTAATTCTTACTCATTTATTTTTTCAGTCAAAAATTTTATAATTGATTTATTACATTAGAAAATTATATTAACTTCTACTAGTTTTATCAAAGAGTTTAGAAATATGAGAATAAATATACAACTAACACTCGTCAGGAGACTCGCTCAGCTCTTTCTCGTAGAAACGATGTGTCTTCGCTACTATCAGTAAACAATTTCAAAAATTAACATCAGATTCGAGTTTCTCGACCCCGAATACCCTTCGGTTAACCCTTATATCTTTAACTAAGTCTTGGATTAATCATAGTGAAGTGCGGACATACAAGCAAACAATTTATTTCTGTTAGATTCTTCTCTACGAAAAAAAGAATAAATTCAACTATGAAAAAAAAACATTTAAAACTTTTTTTTGATTTTAGATTTAAACAATATAACATATTGAAATTTAGAAAAAAAAGTGAATACTTCTCTAAAAATGGCAAACATCGTTGATTAACATATAACTTAAAGTACGGAGAGTAAAAAAGGAAAAAGTGTTATTAGTTTATTATTTTAAAATTACATTGAAAGAAAAAAGGAAAAGTAAGAGCTTTTTTTTAACCAATAATTTATTATTGATATCGAACAAAACACATTTGACTTTAGGTGAAAAAAACATTTTTCTACGTTGGAATTCATATGAAACATTAACATAGGAGTTTAAAAAAATGAGAGAAAAACTTTATGAAATTATTGATTTTTTTTCAAAGATAACTCTTTTGAATAGTAAACTTAATGTAGTTGTTTTAATTTTAATTGAAATGGGAAAATATTCGATTACAAACAAAAAGATGATTTTCTTTTTAACATACTAATCATAAACTGTGCAATTCTACTTTAATGTATGAGAAATAGAAATAATCTTGAGACTCTTGAATGAAAAAAATCTCAAGATTATTTATAGTTCTTATATAATATATTGAATTTCTAATAGTTTTAAAAAATAATTCATATCTAAACATTTTTCAATTATCAAGGTTATTCTTCTCGTTTCTTTTAAATTTGATTTTATGAGAATCGTTCATTAACCTTTTCTTTTGTTCTTAAACTAGATATTTATTGAACATATATTAGAAATCGTTCTGTAGGTTAATAGGATGACCTTTGTCAATATCTATCGTAAAAATCGTTGTCTCAAATTTTTCAAAGTTGATGATCTTCAAGTTTACTCGAATTTTTCTATTCCAATTAGGCATGAAATCAAAACTTCTATTATCTCGTTTAAGATCATTTTTATTCAATGTAACGCTTGTGTGAAATAAACCCGTCATAAGATGACGTGTAAGTATGACCTCTATCTCTCTCTCCCTCTACTTATTGGTGATAAACCATAGTCAATGAAAAACAAGCTATATACTCTCTCTCAAAAAGATAAACCTTGTATTGTATTAAGAAAAACAAATGCTTGATTTTGGTTATTTTATTCGTGCAGTAGGATTATTTCAACGATTTAAAAGTAATAAAAAGTTAATAAATCTTTTATCTGAATCAGTAGTTCATGGTCGTTGTTGGCCAAATGATCTCGATTTTAATTGGCATATGAATAATGCACGATATTTACGTGAAGCTGATTTTGGACGTTTTTCTTTATTACTTGAAACTGGTTTATGGAATTCAATAGTAAAACGAAGAAAAAATGGAATGAAAGATGCTCATGCGTTAATAAGTGCATTTCAAATTCAATATCGTCAAAGTATTGAATTAGGTGATCGATTTAAATTTATTTCACGTATAAATGCATGGGATGATAAAGCATTTTATGTTGAACAATGGATGATTCGTGAAAAAACTAATGAAAAAGTTTTTTCATTATTAGTTCGATTAGCTGTTACTCCACGTTCACTTACACCACAAATGTTAGTTGATGATATTCAAAGTAAATCAATTGAATCACCACCATTTTCACCATCTATGCAATCATTTAAAGATAATTATAAAATAAATTTTCAAGAAATTCCATCAAAATTATAGTTATTACTTTTTTTATAGTTTCCAAATAAAAACAAAAGAATTAACATTATTTATTTTAATAAATATGAAGAATTTTATTTTTCTATATAAATGAAGGGGAATGATATTCTTTGAATAAAATATTAATGTATATAATAAAACTCTTTTTTAAGTGTAATAGATTTTATTTTGATGACAACTAAAAGCAAAAATATTGAACATAGTACTTGATGCAAATAACAATCTATCCCATTATCATCGTTATTTTTATATATTCATTGCAGACATGGAATTGTTCAAGTGGATAGAATCTAACTTGTTGAAAAAGTTTTTCACATTAATATTATTGAACAATAAAAAGAAAAACGTTAATTATCACACATCATATCAAAAACTATCATAAAAGATCTATTTAAAGACTTAAATTAATTTTTTGAATTTGAATATTTCGAATCTTAACAAGAGATATTACTATAGGAGTAACTGCCAAGATATATCATATTTTATTTATTGATCTCTACTCATGATTTTTATTTTTCCTAAAGGGTGGGTGTGGGTGATAAGCGAATAAAGTGTTTACATTCATGTACACATCTATCCTTGTTAGAGTATAGTATTAAAAGTATCTGTCCAATAAAACGAACTAAAACATACGAATTACCCTTTTTATGCCCAATTAATGTTTTTACGTTTTACTTCATTATCCAATATATTAGTAATGTTCATTCGCAAAGCGTTTCTACATTGAGTCATATGTAGAATTACGTGACCAATATTGAATAATTAAAGATAGTATGTATACATCTATAGGCGTTCAAAAAATCTGTTTTTTATTGTTCATTCGTATGTGATCTCGTTTTATCATGATAGTTTATGTTGTATTGTTACGGTAACGATTATTAAATACATAATTGAATTCTTGAATCAGTAAATTATTTGGAAACGATTGCTTTTCATCAAATATAAAGTCATGTTCGGCCATCCATTTCACACTCTCTTGAGCAGAAATTTGGTTTTTATATAAAAAATTGTTTGTTTTATTATTGTTTGAAACTTGTTTTTGTGTTTCAATAACAATTTTTCCTATTCTTTTGAGTTGTGCTCCAGCACTTTGAGCTACCTCTAAGTCGGTACCTTGCGCATCAATTTTTAAGAATTCAATGTCCAAACGAGGATCAATGAGTGATAGTATTGTTTCCAAACGTATTGTCGAAACTCCAGTCATTTTCTTCACGTGATGGCATCCGATGATTACATTATCCCCTAAATAACTTGGGTCAAGAGCAGAATTTGGTTCAAGTAAACTGCTACAACCATCAACAGGATATTCATAAAATATTTGTGTACCTTCAACAGTATAAATAGCCGCAATGATTGGTATAATTCTAGGAATTTTAGATAAACCTTCATAGTATATGGAATTTGGATCGATAGCAATTCCCATTATATCATTTGCATCTCGAAACTCATCTCGAGCAGATTTCTTTATTCGATTAGGCCAATAAACTGCACTGTATACGGAGTCTCCTGCTAAGAATGCTCCAATATTTGAACCAACATCTATCCAAACTCTTTTTATTGTATCTGGCATAGGAATATATCCTTGAGCATTAAGAGTAAACATGCTTCTTTGAACCATTGTTACAAACTGTTTCTTATTTCCATCAAATACAACAACACCGCCACCAAATCCAGAAGGACGATTAGTTCTGTTTCTCTGATAAAATTTTGCTAATATTTGATAATTACGGTATATTGGAAAATGAATGTAAACCGCGCCGAATCCAATAATAATAATGATGACAATGATCGTTAAGTTTATGGCTTTATTCGTCATTGCAAAACTACCAATTATGGAACTAGAAAGAATTAGTTGTCTAAAAAAATGAAGTAATTGATTATATTGTAATTAAATCAATTGTTGAAACCTGTTACTATTTTGATTTTATTTAGATACTAATAAAAGATTATAGAAAAGAAGAACGTCATTTATTTTCCACATACATCTCAATGATACTTACTTTTTATGTGTACTTGCTTCAATTTTTTAATGATTATATAGTTTTTTGTTAGAAAAGAAAAAAAAATAAGAGACTAAAATTTTGGAGAAAAAGAAGTTGAGAGAAATGCCATTTCTAAGTGATATTTCTCTTGAATTATTTTATTTTAAGTTTTTGTGTTGCAGGCATGATCTTTTTTCTTCTGCAAAACGATTCAGTTATTGGCTAGTATAGATTTTAAAAAAGAAGAAGCATATATAATAAGATGCTTTTCTCAAAAAAAAATTAATGAAAAATAGTCACATTCATTCCTGTTTATATGAATATATAAATTTTTATAAAATCTAATTAAATATATTATTATAAAATATCATTTGACGATAATTGCTTTTTTTTTACTTAAAATAATATGAATATATTGTTATTTCCTATTTTAACAACTTATATACACAATTGCTTTCTCACAAGCATGAACACATTAAAAAAAGAAAAGATACATCTTCAACAACTAATTATTCATTTTAACAAAAAACGTTTTTTTTCTTAAGGCTGTGGGTGTGAGCGCGGATATCAATCTTCTCTAAACCGATATTAAGCCCACACCCTCAAGAAAATGAGATGTGCTGACTTTACTAGTGACTAATCATCACTATCGAGCTCCTTTTCAATATTGCTCAAACTCTCTTGAAAACGATCAGATAAGGACGAGCTATAATTGAATATTTGTTCACATGATCCGTCGATTAATTGAATAGCATTGACAGAATTCGACAACATTTGAAGATGAACCTATACAGATAAATGATAGTCATATGATTTATCTTTCAAAATTCTTCGATTATCGTTGAAAAACAATCTTTTATAAACAGCCTAATTTTTCTTAAAGTTTTCAAAATTTTGAAAGCTTAGATGAAATAAAAAGATGTTTATTCTTTATTGGCCTTAGTTCCTTCGATGTTTTTGAAGAAACTTACTTTTTCATGTGGAGAATCGATTATATCGTGAATAATTTATTTTTCAAATCGAGAAATCAATTATAATTCTGCCATTTTCAGTGACATTTTACTAGTCCAAGTAAAACCCAGGTACTTAAATTTGTGTACGATCTCTAATTTTCGGGTTTTCCACTTATGATGTTACGAATAGTTTTAATCCATTTAATACATGAAATGCAATTGATAAAGTTGGATATTTTGAACCTGATAGTACTGCAGTTTCTTCATAAAAAGGACATGAAACAAATTTTAATGTTGATAAATATAACCAATCCGTCACGAAAAAGTGATAAATTTTGAAGTTTTTCATATTTTTGCTTTCTTAAACGAATTTCATGATTAGGTGATAATGTAATATCTATAATTATTGTATTAATAGCAAGAAATCGTGATAACATAATGTACGTGGTATTCCATCGAAAATGAAAATCCAATCTTACACATTTTAGTTTAATGAGTTTCTTCTTTCACACGCCAATTTATTTCGATTTGTTTTAAATGCATTTGATGGTGAACATAACGATTAAGAGCACTTAAAGCAATTGTTGCAGTAGTTGTACGTTCATTATTTTGACTTTGACAGTTTTCACCGCCTTGCAATGAGGCTTGCTCTTTTTCTTTTTCATTTTCACCTGTACAGCTGTCATCAAATAAATATTCATCCCATGATGTGTATGTATTAATGGTATTATTTTTTAAATTGTATTTATGAGAAACAATACTATTTGAAGAATTTTTCTGTCGATTTCATTTTTTTTTCTACGTTTGCTAATGACAAATACATTTTTTTTTCAAGTTTATCTTTGCTATCTACATAATGGTTATACACAGGCTTTCAGTCAACAGAATACAGCAAGAAAAACGATAAAAACTAGTTTAAACATTTTTGAAAAACAGCATGCCTACTAATTCGCGATGACGAATTATGTGATTCAGTCAATATTTACCATTGTAAATACTTTTTTTTACTTAGAATTCTCCAATAATAAATATGAATCTCCACGTTTTTTCTCCATCAAAGAAGATAGAACACCTATTGTTTGTAGACTTTCTGGTTGTTTATCAGAGATATAACAATATCTCACCAGTTTACTTTTTTCGTTCTTCAGTTGTTTTTTTTCATCGCAACATCATAAATAACTAAAGATAAAACATTTCGAAACGAAGTAGACAACTATAAAAAGAATCGTTTTTGATTATTACTTTGCTAGTAAATTTTACACGGTGACTACAATTCAAACCATTCGCGCAGCAAACAATGAACAAAGAAAAATCAATAACAAATACATCTACAGTTCCAAAAGGTCGTCGACGTATCAATACCCAACAAACACAAAATGTTCTCCTAATCTGGTTAGACAGTAACATTGACGAAACAAATGATGGTTGTCAAAATACAATCACAAAACTGCGATGTATTGTGAATGATATCAACACATTTACAGATAGTGATCAATGTCTCGAATTCATTCAAACTGTCGTCGATAACAAGGTATGCATGATTGTGTCCGAATCACTTGGGCAACAAATTGTGCCCCGTGTGCACAATATGTTTCAAGTTGACTCGATTTTTATTTGTTGTGGCAACCAAAAACATGATGAACAATGGGTCAAAGAGTGGCCTAAAATAAAGGGTGTCTTCACAGATATTACACCCATTTGTGAAGCACTCAAGGAAGCTGCTCATCAATGTGAGCAAAACGCCATTCCCATGAGTTTCGTGGGAGCAAATAAAAAGTTGGATCAATTAGATCCTTCTTTTATGTACACTCAGATCATTAAAGAAATCTTCTTGACCATCAAATTCGAACAAAAACATATCCAAGAATATTTTGACTACTGTCGCAATGCTTTTGTAGGTAATAAAAAAGAACTTAAAAATATCCAACAGTTGGAAGATGAATACCACAACAAAACACCAATTTATTGGTACACCTGCCAAACGTTCTTGTATCCCATGCTCAATCGTGCATTACGGTTGATGGATGGTGATATCATTACACATATGGGTTTCTTCATTAGTGATTTGCATCGACACATTGAACAACTACACCAAGAGCAATATGTTGGTTCCACTGCTGCTGACACCTTCACCGTTTACCGAGGTCAAGGTTTATCTGCAAAAGATTTTGAGCAAATGATCAAAATTAAAGGTGGTCTGATTTCATTCAATAATTTCTTGTCGACTAGTAAAGAACGTGATCTTTGCTATTCTTTTGCTGAAAGTAATCAGGCCAATCCAGATTTAGTTGGAATACTTTTCATTATGAAAGTAGACCCCTCTCAATCGACATCACCATTTGCCTTAATTGCTGGTATCAGTTCCTTCAAGGAGGGAGAAGAAGTCTTATTTTCGATGCACAGCGTGTTTCGTGTACAGGATATTAAACAGATGGGTGGAAACAATCGTCTATGTGAAGTTAACTTGACACTTACTGCTGACAACGATCCAGAATTGAACAGACTTACTGATTACATTCGAAAAGAGAGTTATTCAGACACTGAAGGATGGAACAGATTGGGTATGGTATTACGTAAAATGGGTCAATTTGACAAGGCTGAAGACATTTATCAAGTTTTACTTGATCAAACAAACGATGATAAAAACAGGGTACCTATTTATCATCAACTTGGTTTAATCAAAGATGATCAAGGAAAATATCAAGAAGCACTTGTATTGTATGAAAAATCACTGACTATCAATCAAAAAACTCTTCCTCCCAATCATCCTGATCTGATTGCTTCCTACAACAATATTGGTTCAGTGCATTACAACATGAATAATTATTCAAAAGCACTTTCGTCTTATGAAAAAGTTCTTGAAATTCAGCAAAGATCACTTCCTCCCAATCATTCTGATTTGGCTTCTTCCTACAATAATATTGGTGTAGTGCATAGAAACATGGGTAATTATTCAAAAGCACTTTCATCTAATGAAAAAGCCCTTGAAATTTGGCAACAATCACTTTCTCCCAATCATCCTGATTTAGCTTCTTCCTATAACAACATTGGTTTAGTGTATAAAAACATGGCTAATTATCAGAAAGCACTTTCGTCTTATGAAAAAGCCCTTGAGATTCAACGACAATCACTTCTTGCCAATCATCCCGATTTGGCTTCTTCCTACAACAATCTTGGTTCAGTGCATAGAAACGTGGGTAATTATTCGGAAGCACTTTCTTATTATGAAAAAGCCTTTGAAATTCAACAACAATCACTTCCTTCTGATCATTCCGATTTAGCTAAGTCCTACGGTAATATTGGTAATGTGCACTGCAACATGGGTAATTATCCAAAAGCCCTTTCATGTCATGAAAAAGCCTTTAAAATTCAACAACAATCACTTCTTGCCAATCATCCTGATTTGGCTAAGTCTTACGTAGCCATTGGTAATGTATATTACAACATGGGTGATTATCCAAAAGCACTTTTATCTTATGAAAAAGCCCTTGAAATTCAACAACAATCACTTCCTCGCAATCATCCTGATTTGGCTTCTTCCTACAACAATATTGGGGTAGTGCATAGAAACATGGATGATTATCCCAAAGCACTTTTATCTTATGAAAAAGCTCTTGAAATTCGACAACAGTCACTTCCTGATAACCACCCAGATTTGGCGTCTTCCAATAACAAGATCGGTGCAATGCATGACAACATGGGTAATTATCCGAAGGCACTTTCATCTTATGAAAAAGTCCTTGAAATCCGACAGCAATCACTTCCTTCCAATCATCCTGCTTTGCCTTCTTCCTACGGTAATATTGGCAATGTCTATGCCAAGATGGGTAATTTTCCGAAAGCACTTTCTTATTATGAAAAAGCTTTTGAAATTCAACAGCAATCACTTCCTGCGAATCATCCAGATTTGGCTAAATCCTATAACAACATTGGTGTAGTGCATTACAGTATGGATAATTATTTTAAAGCACTTTTATCTCATGAAAAAGCTCTTGAAATCAGAAAACAATCACTTCATCCAAATCATCCTAATTTAGCTTCTTCCTACAACAACATTGGTTTGGTATATGAAAACATGAGTAATTTTGCAGAAGCTCGTACATTTTATGAACATGCTGTACAAATTGCACAACAATCATTATCTTCAAATCATCGTGATATTCAGTTATATAGAAATAATCTCAAAGACGTACAAAACAAATAAATGATTTCTAGACATATTGATATACTGTGGAACACATGAGCATGTTAATTTTTTTGTGTGTATATGTTGATTAAAATGGTTGTGATTTTGTCTTAATAATGTCGGTTTAGAATTTAAAAAAACTAGTTATGAAATTTAAAGCTGTCGTTTTTTCTATTATATTTATTAAATTTTTAGTCAAGACATATATTTATGATAAAATACAAGACAAAACAATATTCTAAAATGTATTAAAGTTATGTGATTTAAGCGCGAGTTTCTTGTTGGTTTAATGTGTGCTGTGATCTGGGAATAGTCTGATTATTTGATTGTCTAGTTAATTTTTGATAAATATGTATAATTAATTGTGTAAAATCTCGACGAAATGCTTTTGATGAAATCAAGTAGATGTAAAAAGGTATTGCAGAAATAATATATAATAAGAATATTGAAAAATTATTTATAAAATTTTCAATTTGTGTATATTGAATACTTTTATTTGGTATTGCATATTGACTAATCACCATTTCTAAAAGAATTATAGGATATAAAGATGTTGTCATAAGATAGACAAATACTTCAGCAATAACAATAATTAATAAATCTCGATCTTTACGTCGAATAGAATTATTTTCAGTAGTTGTATGAATCGGAATTGGTTGAATACGAGCCTTCATTTGTCGCATATTTCGATAAGTTAAATAACTGAATATAATTAATATAATTATTGGACCTCCACCAATAAATACAATTGCATAGAAAGTATAAATTGTTAAATAAATGCCATATTTTACACATTGTCCATTAATAATTGTTTGCATTATTGGAGCATGAATAGGAAATATAATCCAAAAAATAATTGCGAAAATGATTACGAATTTTGCTCGTTTGGGTGTACTAAATGCTCGAAAAGAAACACGATCACTTGTAATTAGATACCGGTCAATACATGCCATTACAACAAATGTTTTCGCAATTTGTCCAATAACATTTGGTATATAAATAGTTATTTTGCATAGAATAAGTACATCTCGTGTTCCCCGACTGTAATCAATAGGAAATATCCGAAGTGGTATGTAATATATTAGATTAATAGTGTTGACTATCGCTGAATATTTTAAATAAATTGCACATGCATTTTGATGGTGTTTATTGAATAGTATAATAATAAAAATATTACCAATAGTTCCAAAGATCATAAAAACTAAATTTCCATAAAAATTGATGTCGTATTGAACAGCTGATAAAATTGACGAGGACATCTCTATGTTTAAAAATGATGCTAAAGTATAAAAAAAACTTGTTAAATTATTTTAGAATATTTATAATTATTAACAAATATGAGATTATTTTTATGTAGCTCTTATATGTTCTGACACTTAGAAAATTATTTTTTTTATATTTTCTATGAAAGATTTCATAGAAATTGTTTTTCTTCTTAATTTTCATGGCAATGTCTTTATAATAAATTTTAATCTCTATGGATTTATCAACTAACGAGTAAAATATCTCGCATAAATTTTGACCTATATACTTGATTTTTTTTCGAACAGATAACGCGTGAAATTATTTTAGATAAACAGATATAAGACCTTACTCTATACGTTTGAAGTGCTGTTTTCATCTGATTTTGTAAAGAATTCTACGGGCTATCTATCCGAAAAAAATCAAGTATATACGTCAAAGTCTGAGAGAGATGTTTATAAAATACTGAGAGACTCGTTTTATCTGTTGTACTCGTTACTATTCCAAAGAAAAGAATAGAAGTTGATTTACAATCTACTCTTTTACTTGAATATCATTTTTCTGTTTTTTTGGAGTATGAACTTAATAACATTGATAATTCTTTTATCAGAGATCTACTGAATTATTTAAAGTTCATTTCTCATTCTATGAACACTAAATATGACAATTGTTCGTCAATAGAATGAATAGAAGAATTTATAATATAGTCTGGAATACATTATTTTTAGATTTCAATATGTAATTAAGTATATACACTCAAAATTTTTCAGTCAACATTCTTTCATCATAGTCAATTGAGACAATTAGTTTTTTAATTCTACTTTTCAACGCCTGGATAAATATATTTTCATATGAAATAATGAAATAAAAGCAAGAAAAAAGATTTATCATTATAAAATATAATTTTGTAAATGTAATATTTATTTGTGGGAGAAATTATTCTTTTCATTGAAAACAGGTTACAGTAGATAAAATCAAAAGACAAAGAGTTTATTAAATATAAAATATTTTTAGAACAACATTCCTTGTCCTCTTTTAATAATAATAATAATTATTATTATTAACTAATTTGAATGTGGTGCAGATAAACATCAATAACAAATGAATTCTAATTGTAATGTCATCTGATCAAGTAGTACAAATCTAGATATGGATAAATTAAAACGTGTTAAAAGTATTTGAGTTTAATCAACTTTGTTTTGCAAATATGAATAAACCAGTACGATCAAATCCACCTGAACAAGTATTAACAATATTAAATCCTGCAAGAGTATTTAAAAAATCTTTTCTTATATATCTGTTGTTCTTTCATCATGTAGATAGTAAGAATGCGTTTTTCGAAATTAACAAGTAGTTTGAGGACCGAAAAGCTTGATGTTGTCGTTTTTTCAACATCCGGTCGCTGCAGATCAAAATTAAGTTTTTATTTTTGTTCATCATGACGTAAAAGTGTCTGACTTTCTATTTGTTCATGAAGATAATATACGAAAATAGACGAGATACTGAGTGAGACAAGAGAAATACATAGAAAAAGTAGCAACGAAGAAGATTTGAAACTATGTCGAAGAAACAATTCATTCGTTATGATAGTCTTTGAAACACGATCAAGATGGGTGGGTGTAGGTGATACAGATAAGATAAACCCACACCCTTAAGGTACATATATCAAATCATGTCAATGTACCAATTATAACTGATCTTAAAGTTTTCAAATAATGATATGGCGAAATATCAATCATCGATTTGTACAACAAATATTCAGAATATGAATCTCAGTAATCGATATGAATTTTTATTATCATTTGTTATTTTTATGTACATACATAAGCTTTATTATTTTTTGTTTTTTAAATAAAGTTTTAGTTAAATGATGAAACTTGAATTACATACTTGAGAAACACGCTGCGTGCATCTTTAATCTCGGTTACGACTGCACGCTCAGATCCTTCTTATGTAGATACATTTCAGTCAAACTATTAATAAAATTATTAACAATCTCAATTCATTTTAGATGATTTAGACACCACTGAGATTTTGTTTCAGTAGTCGTAGGCGGTTCTTGTACACATATTCAATGTAGTAACAAAATAAAATGTGCACTGTCATGTCTCCTCAGTGATGAGGCGACTAAACAAAGGTGTTCTCTTATCTATCTTTTTAATACTCTTTTTTTTCAAAGTGTAGTAACACAAGAAAATATAAAACTCTTCAATATCATGACGAGTGTTTTCTGCCACATCATCATATCAATATTCATAATTCTTCTCGTCGTTACATTTGTACAGAATGTAAGTGAACCTATAATTCAATTTTCAGGTAAAATTAATGGTGCCAATCCACAAAGTACTTTAATAGAACTGAACAATACAGGTGTACTCTATGGTGTTACACGTTATGGAGGTAATTCTTCAGATGATCTTGGAGTAATTTATCGTATCGATACTATTCGAAACAATACATTCACAGTTATACATCATTTCACAAACAACACGGGCTGTCATCCAGTATCGCCACTCGTCTTCGATAACGATGTTTTTCTATTCGGCAGTACAATTCGTTGTGGCCAATATGGATATGGAAATTTATTTCGTTTTAATCTTTCTGATCATACATTCAATATTATCTATGAATTCCAGGATATTGCTAATCCAGTCAATTTATTTCTGGATACAAACAGTGGACTGTTGTATGGTGTGACAGGTGTTGGTTCTTCGACATTCTATGGATCTGTTTTTACAATTGATATTAGACATAAAACACCATCAACAACATTTAAACAATTATTTTCATTCAATTATGGTGTCGGTGCATTTCCGTCGAATTTGATTTTAGTAAACAATTCATTATATATTAATACACAAATATTTGGACGATTTGGAGGTGGTACTCTAATAAAGATGGATCTAGATGGAAAGAATGCAGAATTAATTTACGCTTTTGGTGGTGATAAGGCACTTGGTTGTTGTCCCTGGGGTCAACTTGTGTTAGTTACTCATGAAAAAGAACAATACTTATATGGTACAACAATGGGAGCGGCAGATTGTCCGAGTACGATCTATCGTATAGGATTAACTACGATAACAAACCAAATTGAGCTAGTAGTAACATTTAATGAAACAACAGTTGGTTCAGCACCATTTGATGGATTAATTCAAAGTATCAATTCATCTTTATTATACGGTGTTACATCTAAAGGAGGAATGACCAATCGTGGAACGATATTTCGTCTCAATATTAATAACGATGAAAGTTTAGAGAAATTATTTGATATTCCATCAGATGATACATTTGGATATGAAACCCTTGGAGGCCTACTAGAAGTAGGAAATAATTCATTCTATGGTCCGGCTAATTTAGGCGGAAAATATGGCTTGGGAACTATTTATAGAGTTACAATTAATTAATTTTTCTTTTTCAAGTATATAATAAAGATTGGAGCGTAAGGAAAGCGAAAGAAGTGTTAATTTCTTGTTTAGCCGTTGGCTTGACAAGTTTTCATTTGGACAGAAAAAAAACATAATGCACATTTCTGTTTTCCTGAAATACAGGAAATTAGGGTGCGGGTGTGGATGTAGGTATATAAGTCATTTTTCTTTCCTACTACACAGACACACCTACCCACCAAAAATCTGATGAACATCCTCACTACAGACGAAATCTATCGATTATGGCTGCCAGTCTTAACTTTCACCCTCAAGATGATTTACTCAAGACCATATTACATGTTAGTATTATCAAGTTGCATTAAAGTGACACATATTTTTATTTCACCAAATCAATTCAGATACACGTAAAAATCTCATTCGCACACATCACGCTTTCGAAACCACACTAGATAATAAAAAAAATTTGCAGTCGAATAATCACTTAAGTCCGTAATCAAAATTCTGTTCTGCCACCATGAAAGTTACCATTTCATGCATCCCTATATTAAGTAACCATCACTTCCGGGTAGCGTCGCACTCATGTTCTTCAGCTTTCTCTTCCCTTCCTTGAATACATCCAACAATTTATCCTTCAATTCGGAACGTGGAATGCAACATTCTATGGTTTCATTTGCGTGGTAAATTGCTATTTTATTATCCACAACTGTAATGCCTATACCTTGCACCAATGCTGCATACGCAAGCAAGCTAAGCCAAGCTTCATTACCCGAATCCAAGTACGCATTCAGCAAGTGATCAGGGCGCATTCTTTCAAATTTGATTCGGTAGTATTTTTGTAACCGCTGAAATACCTTCTCAATCACTTCAGACTTCCAATTTTTAAGTTTTTCATTCAAAGAGATTGTAAGTTCCATACTTCTCTCAATATCGTTTCGGTGAAAGCTATGCCAGTTTGGATCAATGTCCATCAGAACAGCAATTACATCATCAGTCATTACTTTTTCGCTAATATTTATGAGTGCTTCACATGCTACTTCTTTGACTGACTGATCTTGATCACGAGTTGCCTTTAGTAGAGCAGTGATCACATCAGTGGTCACACCTTCTCCTACCACTTTTCCCATCGCTTTGCATGCTTCTTTTCGGACATTGCAATATTTATCACCAGTTGCCTTCAACAAAGCAGCAATCACATTCGTAGTTGCACTGTTTTCATCTATATTTCCGAGTGCTTTGCATGCTACTACTCGGACCCACCTTTTTTCGTCAAAAACTGCATTCTGCAGGATACCGATCACATCATTATTTGCACTTTTTCCAATCATCTTGTCGAGTGCTTTACATTCCTCTTTTCGACTAGACTCATTGCCATCGCGAATTACTTTCAACAGAGCAGCAATCGTATCAATGGTTGCATCTTTTTCACTCATTTTTCCGAGTGCTACGCACGCTGCTTCTTGAACATAATAATCTTTATCATCAGTTGCCTTCAACAGAGCAGTGATCACATCATTAGTAGCTGCTTTTTTACCCATTGCTCCGAGTGCTTCACATGTTCGCCGTCGGACCTTTAAATCTCCATCAGGCATTAACTTTAGCAGGGCAGCAATCACATCGCTGGCCGCACCTTTTTCAACTATCTCCATGAGTGCTGCACTTGCTGGATCTCGGATAATCGAACCCTCATGACATGCTGCCTTTAGCAAAGCAGCGATCACATCATTGATTTCACCCTTTTCACCTATATTTCCAAGCGCTCTACATGCTGCTGCTCTGTAAGAACAACGTGTATTACGAACTGCATCCAACAGAATAGCGATTATCTCATTGGTCGCTGTTTTTGCTCCCATATTTCCGAGTGCCCAACATGCTGCTGCTTGGATACGCCAATCTTTATCATTAATTCCATTCAACAGAGTAGCAATTACACGATCAGTCGCTGCTTTTTCACCCATTTGTCCAAGTGCTAAATACGCTTCACTGCGTATGTCCTCATCTTCATTATGTATTCTATTCAGCACCGCAGCGATCACATCGTTGGTTGCTGCTTTTTCTCCAATCCGTTGCAGTGTTACGTATGCTTCTTTTCGTAGTTCCTTATTTGTATCGCGAATCGCATCCAGTAGAGTGGCGATCACATCACTTGTCGCTGCTTTTTCGTGCATCTGCCTAAGTGTTTCCCATGCTTCTTTTCGTATGTCCTGATTCTTATCATGAATCGTATTCAGTAGAACAGCGATCACATCACTTGTTGCTGCTATTTTACCCATCGACTTGAGTGTTTCCCATGCTTCTTTTCGTAATATCTCATTGTTATCATGAATCGCATCCAGTAGAACAGCAATCACATCATTGGTCGCACCCTTTTCACCTATATTCACAAGTGCTTTACGTGCTTCATATATGAGGTGCCCATTTCCATCACCCATTGCATTAACTAGACCAGCAATCACATCATTGGTTGCACCTTTTTTACCAATCTTCTCGAGTGCCTTGCATGCTGCGCGTATGACATCATCGCCCCGAACATACATGACATTCAACAGAGCAGCGATTACATTTTTAGTCGCTGCATTTTCCTTCATATTTCCAAGTGTTTCGCATGCTGCTTCTACAATATATTCACTTTGATCACGCATTAAATTCAGTACTGCGGCGATCACAGCATCGATAGCGGCGTTTTGACCCATTCTCGCAAGTGCTTCACATGCTTCTCTTATGGCCTTTCTATTTTCACTATGAATATGAATTACATCCAACAGGACAGCAATCACCTCATGGGTTGCATGTTTTTCACCTATCTTCGCGAGTGCCGCACATGCTTCTTTTCTTGGGTACTCATCTCCGCAAGCTGCATTCCGTAGTGCAGCGATCACAACACTAGTCGCTGCTTTTTCACCCATGTTTCCAAGTGCTTTACATGCTACACTTCGAAGATAGCCACGTTGACCATACACTAAATACATCAGAGCAGCGATCACATCATTGGTTGCTGCTTTTTCTCCTACTTTTATAAGCGTGTGACATGCTTCTATTTGGACATTCTCATCTGGATCATGAACTGTTGCAAGCAAAGCAGCAATTAATTTTGTGGAAAGTTCTGAGAGTGGACATTTAGCAACCATACGAAGGGCGCGGAATTTGGTTTCGCAGTCTGTCATCACCACGAGTCGTGCTAATGTATGTTGAATAAATTTAGTGCTTACTATATTTGGGGCTTGTTGAAGTGATTGTTCCATTGCATGTTGTACTACTTCAGGTGAATATGTGACGACTGCGATAATCCATTGTGATATCGATTTGAGATAGACTTCGCGTTCTACGACGGAATTCTGTTCCGGAATTTCGTTAAGGATTTCGATAATGAGCTTTATGTGTTGTAGTTCGACTTGATCTAACGGTTCTTCCTGTATAGCATTCCATAAGAGTTGCATTGCTGATTGAGAGGTGTGTTGTGCAAGAAGTCCTGCAGCGAATATGAAGACTAAACGAAATCGTTGGACGTATTTTTTTTTATTGATGAAGTCAGTAGCTTTCTGCTTGTCAGAGCTTTTGAGTAGGTTTGCTAAGTGACGTGCAGCAAAATATTCTTGGAAGCTGAGATGAACAAAATAGTATTGTTGTTTGGTTGGGATTTGCTCTCCAACTAGCTTGTCATCATAGGACTTGAGAATGCCAAAATTCAATATTGATGGATCTTTTTCTTGGAAGCCTTCACATTCGTCTTTTGCTTCTTTAAAAAGCTGTGAAGACAGCAGCCTACTGTCAGACTCCATCGCTTTGAAAGCTAAACATTCCAGGAATTTCAATAGAGTATCGCATTCCTTAGAGACATCTTGTTTTTGCATATCTCCAAGATTTCGATTGTATATATTTTGTTTTGTCAAGTATCGTCGACATACCCACTCTACTATATTATCATAAAGTGTCGCTAATGTTAACAATTTAGTTCTCGACCAGTCTGTTGTAGCCCATATGCTACAAATCAATTCAAGATTTGCGGGAATATGAGCACTATCCCAGATATTTGGATTCGATTTCAACAATTGTAGAATTTTCTTTGTTTCGACTGATGGATTGAATGTGTTGTCTTTGATTCGGTGAAAGAACGATTCAACATAGTTAATAATATTGTCATCTGTGAATCCTATTATTTTCATTTTCACATCATATGACAATGCGACAACAGACGGATGAGATGTTAAAATATGGTGCTGCGTCTCGCATATATAGTTGAATACAGTATTCAAATAGGGTGGAATGTTCTGTGCGAGTTCATCGTAACCATCTAATATCCAAAGAACTTTGCCATTTTTGCATCGTTCATTGAAACATTGTTGTTCTTCCTTCGATATAATATCATTAAGTAAATATTCCTTCTTGACTATGTCAAATGGTGAATATTCTTCTCCTTTTGGATAACGATCCTCGGTCACTCTACGTAAATCAACCAAAACAACAAGGTCGTATTTAGGCCAAAGATTTCCTTTTGCCCATTGGTATGCAACGTATTGGCAAAAAGTTGATTTTCCAATACCTGCTCTTCCAAGTACAAGAATCTTTTTTGTCGCGTCTTTACATTTCTTAAAAATATCCTTGATGTCAATTAAGATCTTAGCATCGTAGATTTCTTTATAAGCACTAAGAAATCCACCGTTGAATTGTTGCTCACTTAGATTCTGTTGTTTTAATTCGTTTTCTTTTTCGTGTTGTTCTTTCGATTCAACGATAGTCAAATTGATATAAGTGTTTTCAAATGGAAAACATTTCTCTTCATTTAATGTGTCCTTGATCATACTTTCTTTTAGGTATTTTTGTCGAATGAGTTCAAATAAATTCGCTGGTGATGATGCTTGCGTCATTATAAAATTTCGCGGTTTACTTTTGCGAAATACGATCTGAAATGAATGGTGAAGTATATATGCGCCTGAAAAGTAAGAGCCAGAGTCGGCATTTCGACTTCTTTTCACATTGAAGAAGACTTTTCGAGAAATAGCAAATATACCATTCGATAGTTGGAAGAATTCTCTATCAAGAAGTCTATTTTTATTTTAAACTATCAGATGTTATATTAACTATTTCTTGAATACTCTTTCTGATTGTGGAAAAGTTAAACTACCGACTCGAGCTCTTGGTTTACAGGCGTATATGGTCATCTTTTTATTGTGAATTCTGGATTATAAAAAACTAACGAAACGCATCATATCCAATTCTTGTCTCATACGGATTGTTCCACAAAGAAGAGTTTTCCTTTTTTTAGCTGGTTGCGTCAGCTTTCACCGGAGATAGTCGGTGGATATTGATACGCTCCGTTGTCAGCACAACAAGCGTGTCCGTACCCATAAAAGCGACTTGGAGAGGTGTGCCAATATAATTCTCTTTGCTGTTAACATCTCCATCCTCCGAAATATACCAAAGTTCAGATTGATTGGGATTAACCAGTATCCATTGGTTACCGTTCACTGAACAAGATCGAAATGGATGCGTCAAATAAGTCGAATCGACTTCAATTGATCGTTGACGCTCTAATGTACTTAATGAACAAAGATCGAGACGTACTTCACTGTTCTGTTTAATAATCATTAAAGCCAATACAGTGGCAGTTGATGACATACTACAGATAAACTCGTCTTTTTTGCACGAAATCGGCGAATGGTGTTCTTTGACGAACGCTATTTTGGGTTTGAGGGTGTATTCAAAAAGAGATGTACCTTCCATCGCTTTAGATAAGAGCAACGTGTTATTCGAACTTGTTCCACACCACCAAATACGATTATCAAGATCGTGATCAAGTGTAGTTGCGTATATACGTTTACATCTGTTATCGACATCTAAGACATTAATGCAATCAATATTAATGACAATAAATTTTTCTAGTGCATTGGACCAGAATATGTCGGTGACAAAATGTCTCCATTCATGATACAAATCAGAATTGTAGTCACCAGTTATTAAATTCAATAAATGGAACTGCTCTAATACAATATATTTGTCGTTAGCTGCCATACAATAGTATTGATTTGTAGTTGTTTTGAATGATTTATGAGCCGGCATCAAACGAGACGATAGATTTGTGTCGAGTGCGCCTTCGTCTTCTTTCACATAAGAATAGTTCCTATAAGGTAATGTAGGATATCTGCTTTCATACGTTAAGCGTTCAATACGTTTGATTAAATCATACACCGATGGACTATTCAATCGGCTACTCAAACTGAACAAAGACTCTTGTCTTTCGTTCAATGATCGTTTGGATTGAAAACGCTTCCTTGAACGTTCAGTGGATGGTGCTTCCATGCTCCATTTATCGAGAGCCTTTTTATTTTGATCAATTATTAATCGAAGCTTGTATTCCGCGTCATTGATTGCTTTAGTTAAATATATCTCCCTATCAGCGTACCTGGACCATTTCTCACATCGTTCTGTACACTGTTTATAGAATTGATCAACTAATGGATGTTCTGGAACAGAAGCATACCATTTGTACAATCTGCAAAGCCAATTTGATCGATTATTGACGTTTCTCAAAGCTTCGATATGAGGATCTTCCATTTCTTTACGCAATTGATTAAGAACCATTTCTAAATTCTCACTGTGTTCCATCATATGGGTACCACAAAAACATTGTTGACAACAGTGGCATCGCACTTGATCCATGACTCTATCTCTGTGACCACATTCAACACAAAGACTTCTACTGGTGTCGTTCATGGCTAACATTGCTAGGTGTTTATCATCGGCTGATATTTCAATAGGTACTTCACGTAATACCATTTCATCATTGCTAGAGTTCAAACGCTTTTCAACCGCTATAAATGCAGTATATGGACAAAGAATATTGTACGTCAACGACAACTTAACGATTTTTTCTTGAATCTCTTGCTTTTTTTCTAGTGACTTGTATTTCGAATGTTCTAACTCGAGAATCAATGCTTTAGCTGCTAGTCGTGCTAGTGTACCAACATTGTTCACATTCGGTAAATCTTGAATGCTTGCAAAACCTAATTGAACTGTTCCATGGTATAGTTCAACACTGACACTGCGATCGAATGTTGTTTCTGAACTCTCACAAAGTCCATAAACAAGAAGACGGTCATTGGCGAATATTGGGGGAATTTTTGATGGCGCATTGATCATCGGCGTTGGTGTATTCCATTTAATCTCTGCATTAGTAATGGCCATTTGGATTGATTTTTGAAATTGAGTATCAACATATTTATGAACAGTAGTATTGGGTGGAATGAAAACGAACCGACCATTGGTCACTCGAGCAAGACCTTTGACTAGTGCACGACTTGGCGCGTAACCTAAACCGAATGAAAATATTCGTGTTGAAGTCGACATGGCACGGCATATATCCAATACTTTATCGACATTGGAAACTTCACCATCGGTGAGAAGAAATATCTGTCGCGTACTGCCTTCTTTTGGTGGAGTGTGACGAAGAAGATCAAGCGGACTTGCCTATACAAAAAACAGAAAAATAAATGACTTTTTAAAGAATCTGTTTTATATATGACATAACTCACTAATTCAGTACCACCCATATCTGCCTCTAAGCATTCAACAAACCGTCTAGCCTCCTGACGATTCTGATCAGCATTAAGAGATCGACTTTCGCCGAAAAGTGATTCATAATCTGACCCAAAGCGGATGATATTCATAATGGAGTCGGAAGGTATTTTTTCAATAAGAAGCTTCATTGCACTGCGCAATAGTCCTATCTTATTTTCTGAACCCATGGATCCACTACAATCAACAACAAATATGAACTCATTAGCCACAGACATCTTCTCCATGACTCGTTTACATTCTTCATTAGTAGGTGTAAATGAAGCCATAATAGCACCCACTTCAATAGTTAGAATCGTATTCGATTGATGTTCAGAAAGTTCAAGATCGATAATGATGTCTCGATCTAAATGAGTGTTTTCTTGAGCAAATCGAATTACATAAGCATCTGGCTCATTGAGATGAACTTCAATAGGATGAGATTTTGAAGATACTTGAGCAATGTTCTTCTTTTCTACTCGACAACAAAGTTCAATTGTATAAGGGCTACTTTGAACATATTTCGATGTAGTATCACATGGAGAGCTAATATCACCTACACAAGGATTGTAACGTGGAGCAATCGTAGTCGGAACAACAAAACGAATTGTGCTTCCGTCGTTAATAAGATCGAGTTCGGATACGTACGAGATCGATATTTCACATTGCTTACCTGGTGGTAATGCACCAACATTAACAATAAAATTGTCTGGAGATTTTTCATCTTGTTCAAGTAAATAAGCACCGTGCCCCTTTCGAAGAGCATGAACATATTCTTGTTGAGCTTCATCTTTCTTTTTCAATTTCGCTCTGATTTCTCGATCGTCGATACGAGCAATGAAAGCATAGATAGCAGCTTGTTCTTCCATCGGAAAACAATAGACCGCTTCGATCGCTGTTGTTTCATCATTACGAAAGACTTGCTCAATAGTGACATCGACGGCAAATGATCGTATACTGGCGTTGACGTGAACCTTCTTTAGTGGTACAAATTTCGGATTTTCCACTTTGTTCCATACCGAATGACTGAATTCTAAAATTTGTAACATCTAAAAGAAAGGTTTTGTTAATATTAAAATCATAAGAAAATTATTACATCTACGTATATTTGCGGGTGTGGGTGTGGGTGTAGGTGAGGGCGGGTGCGGATGGATGTGGGTTGGTGTAAATGAAGAGAAGAGTATCACCTTCTTTCACACCCACCACCCGCACCTACCCTCAAGACTGTAAGGAGCATGGGATAATGCCACAAGGATATAAGGCTATAAGAGAGTAAGGGTTTGTGTGAAGGGAACCAAACATTGGCGACAGACAAACTAGAATACATAATCTATACTTTACCCTTTTTGAATAAAGCAAAAAGAATAATCAACACATTCCTCCTGTACTTTTAAGTGTTTCAATCCCTAGTTCCAATCCTGCTCATTCGTTAAGAAAGTGTGAAAGGATCTTGCCAAATTTTAGCGAAGATCAGCGTTGGATTCTGAGAGAAAGATCCTGTTAGAAATTATAATTATATCAGAGACGAGTCTTACCACGAAAGAAAAGTCTATTCAGAATCCTAACCTAATAAATCCTATCAAGCTCTCATTCGGACCGCTTCGATTCCTATTTAAAATTATTATGAGGATTATTCCTAGACTTTTCCACTATCATGCGCGAAACTCGTCAGGAATAAGCATGCTGGAACTATACAAGGCAATAACAATCATTACCAAGATCTTCATGAGAAAATACGAAGATCTAATTAGTATCGTTTAGTTATTTTTCAAGAAGAGGTCATATCAGAATAAAAATCCAAAAACATCTGACTTCGAAGGAGAGAGCTGACGGTTATTAATCTACTATACTGATTAAATTTCAGTAAAAAAGCATTCAAATTTTAGTGAATTTTTTCTCTATTAGATCAATTGATTTTAGAGAATCAATAGCAAATATATATTGAAACAGGTAGATAGCTTAATACGAAAGAAAAGATTGGCTACTCACTGGTGCATTAGGATGTAATGTGTATTGAGTTGAGGTAAAGACTCTCTATCAGACTCCGTCGGATCCGATACCCGAGAACTTCCGCCAGGACTCGTATGTCGAATTCCTCGACCTGGATAAGGAAAAAGATATTGTTTCATACTTATTTTTGATCTATGCCGGTTGATGCCTATGATGAAATGTGAGAACGATTGTGAATTTTAACATTCTCTTTTATACCACTTATACTGGGAAAAAAGTTCTGCACTCACCCGATGATTGTCTATTTAGTTTAGATTGTGAAAATTCCCATCAATGCAGACTGGGTAATAACCATACATAATGTGTTTTTTACCAGCGATGCAATAACACAGAAGAAAGATTGTTCTCTTCTTAACGAGAAAAGTGAGTTTCTCTAATGCTCTAGAGAATAATGTCATAATTCTGAATTCGCTGATTGTTCGTTTTAAGTCAGAAGAAAAGAAAAAGTCCCCATTCACTCTTTCTTTCAATTGATTAAATATACCAAAAAAAGTGTTTTTCTGTTCTGTCTCTCTCTTACCTGTATAGAGACTGGGTTTTTTTCTATGCTCAAAATTCGCCGAATATGTCGGCCTAGGGATTTTTCTCTTTCATTTCACCAACGTAAAAACATGCCAAGCATATACTCATCTCTTTTTTATGGGTGTGGGTGTGAGTACCGTATTATCTCTGTATTTACACCGGCATCCACACAATAGTACATAACAAAAATATGTGGAGAAGTCTGATTCATCGGATCGCCAAGAATCGAACTCGACTGAATGGATACAACAACTACACAATAATGAGAAGAAAATTCTTTGATTGAATAATAAAGTCCTCTCACATGATCAAATTTTCAAAATAATTCATCGTTTGTTATATTTTATGTTAGTAAATTTCAAATAAGTATTTAGAGTGACTATATAACTGAAAGATTTCTTGATTATATTTGATTTTCTCATCTTCTAGCGGTTCTGGCCATTCTTTTTCCGCAAAGTCTGTTGAGAATGTCTTGTTTTAGATACTTTCCTTAAGAATTTCAGTAATCAATGTAGAAATTGTTTCCATTTCCGAAGTAAATGGCCTCGAAGTACATAAAGCTCCCAAGCCTTCGATGAGATCTCTCAGTTGAACAGCCATTCGGCCTTTGTCTGTCGTTGGATCGTAGTAGTGAGCGATGTGCTCTATTTTCGAGCACCCAGAACGTATAAGCGTTATATATTGTGGACCACGCATCTGTTGATCTAGTAACGATGCAATTCGGTCTATTTCATTGATTTTCAATATGTCGCCTCTAAAATCGGCGAAGACATGACGAAAAAAGTCTTGAGGGTGTGGGTGTGGGTGTGTAAGAAATAAGAATATAAGAATCACATCCACACCCACACCCTCACAACCCCTTCCTCCCTCCAATACCCTCAAAATCTATACCATTATAGAATAAAGAAAAGTTTATAACTGAAGAAAGATGATTATTTATATGAAGATAAATAAAAAAATGAGTTTTATAACAAGATTAATAATAGAAAACTGTTTTATTACCAATAAGAGTCTACTTTATGACACTGATAACAACGAGAATGATGTATAAAAAGACATGCTCGTTCATACACTATTTTTTATCACATATACTAGTCTTTTGAAAGAAAACTAAAGCTGATAGAAGGTAAGAGTCTCATAGAAATAAAAATCTGTCGTCATTATTGACTTTATTTGTAGTTTTCAAAAATGAAAAAAAAATTATAGTTCTTTATCGTTTGAGTAATGATTTTCTACAGTCTAAGTATCATCCTAATTCATCGATGACTGGAAAAAACTAGAAGAGAAGCTAGTAAATCTGTGTGAAAAATTATCTTCTGTGGATGTTCGGTAGAGCGATACAGCCAACTAACAATAGTTAATAATAATAAGTACATGCGCTTATAATTTGATCATTCATTCACTTATTTAAACGAAGGAGTAGTAGCTTTACAATAAATATTTATGCACTCACGTAGGTATCTTTTGAGCATGAACAGGATCGAAACGCTATAGATAAAAGCGTGAAAATGCAGCTTAGACGGAATACCTATTATATTCAAATGAGATTCAGAGGTGCAACGTACCGTAACGCGTTTAAAAACGATTTTCAGCCTGATACTAACAGGTTCATCACCGAAAATGCAATTGATCACGCTTATAAATATTGTTTTCAGACGTTTCTAGTGGAGTTCAATCTTTCGCAAAGCTTTTCTTTGCTCTATCGATTTTCATGTTCATATAAGGAAATTTAGCCGGACCTTTACCATTATGACAAAGATCGGAGAGAAATTCTAAATGCTAAGATATCCATCATACAGAATAATTTAGAGACATGTATTTTGTCCTATTATTGCTGTAGAATTGGATCAGTATAAGAACTGATATCTCTAAACGACTAAATTTCGAAGTATATATTTTAAGCAGTCAGTTCCAGTTTTAAGATACGTACGATGTTAATATTGTCGATACGAGGATTTCTCCAAAGTTCAATAGCATGTTTACGAGAACTGACTTTCGATTATTTATACTCTAAAATTTTTTTAGGCACAACTTTCTTCACCAACAGCCCCTCTTCAGTAGACATTCCTACTTTACATCTATAGAGTCAGTTGCGTTTTAAAAAATAATGCGTCCGAACGCGTTTCCACAAAACCACCGCGTCGATAAACACGTTCCACAAACTATTTGATTGACTCCTCAAACTAGAACTTATTTAGTAAAGACGAGCCAGCTTCGTTAAAATATTGAGCACCTTCTCGATGCATACCAAAAGAAGAGTGGTTGTCAATTTAAGAGAATAAAAAAACACCTACAGCCACATCCACACCCATACTCCTGTTAAAGGGTGATTCATATGTGTTCTTTTCCTTTTAATACGATTTATATGACTTCTCCTTTTCTTGCTCGTCTATGTTTTTTTAATGTTCGCGTCTGTCATGGTATTATTCACAAACTTCTTCGTCCCTCCAGTGAATCATCATTATTTCTCAGTTTGTTCTTGGATTCTTCCATGTATGTGCGTTTATATAGCTGTCGTCCTTCTAATAAAACCATTCTTTGTATTCTATTATCGGTAGTCTAGTAACATCACTGCTTTGTTTCAGATTTCTCACTTATCTTCGTTATAAGCTCATCACACATTAACTGAGTTCAACAGCAAGTTACAAGTCAAGTCCCAACTTCAACACATACACACAAACACTTGCAACATTATATCGCTCGCACATTAAAGTAAGTCCTTATCTGATATATTTCCATGAGTGAGAAATTTCTCCTGAAGACGATCCACCAACATCCCTCTCGAATACATTGGTTTAGAAGCAAGTTTTTTGTCCAGAATCGACCACAACATCTCTATCGGATTGAGATCTAGACTTTTAGGAGCTCAGTCGAGTATATTAAGTTTTAATTTGCCAATTTACTCTTTGATGGTGTAGATGTAAGTGTCGTGGATATCTCTTCTTTCATCACATATCCACACCCACACTCTTTTTGTTGTTATGTTACTGATGATGACCGATTTAACCAACTTGAAAAGCTCGAAAATTCTACTGTTATTATTTTTCATATATAAAACTTTGATTAAAACTATCGTTTAACTGCACTTCTATTCATAGCTGTGTATTGTCCACCCTCTTCTGTGATGGCATACATGTTTAGTAACATGCACATACAAGATAAAATGCAATTCGCAGGTTTTAGCCGATGGACTGCCTTCAAAATAGAAAAAAAATATGCTGAAGAATGGGGATATTACTCGTCACAGTCGGGTTGTTCTTCTGTCCTTATCTCTACTGTTGTTACAAGAGTTGATGATCTCGATTATACAAAAACCATTTCTCCTGAGTACGAATTCACTGTTGAACGTCATCAAGAATCACTTTTTTATGATTTAATCAATCGAAATGGTTTTAAAGTAGTTAGTCAGAATACATCTTCTAATACTCATCGATTCAATGCTGATGATAGCGGTGGATACCTACGTGATGAATATAAGGTTCCAAAATCTGAAACGATCGTTTATAAAAAGTAGACAAACTGATGCATTTTTTGATCATGATAAAATATCTATCCTAGAAAAACATTTTTATTATTATTCAAATAAATAATACGAAAAATTTCTCTAACAACATTTAACAAATGAGGTGGTGTGGGTGTGGATGTAGGTTTGGCGGGTGTGGGTGTGGATGCGTGTGCGTATAGTGCGAGCATGAAGTATGGCTGTGTTTTAGCCTATGAGTGTCTTCTGTTTCACAGAAATCCCACATTCACCCACGCCCATGATACATTTAATCAATTGAAAGAAAGAAAGAGTGAATGAGGACTTTTTCTTTTCTTCTGACTTAAAACGAACAATCGGCGAATTCAGAATTATGACATTGTTCTCTAGAGCAATTGAGAAACTCACTTTTCTCGTTAAGAAGAGAACAATCTTTCTTCTGTGTTATTGCATCGCTAGTAAAAAACACATTATGTATGGTTATTACCTAGTCCGTATTGATGGGAATTTTCATAATCTAAACTAAATAAACAATCATCAGATGGGTGCAGAGCTTTTTTGAAGGTGGGTGTGGGTGTATAAGTTATTCTTCTCCCATACTACACACCTACACCCATTCCCTCCGCCACACCATCTTGATGAATATGGAGGAATAGTATGAGAGAAGAATAACTTATACACCCATACCCACCCCTACACCCATATCCATCCCTACACCCACACCCCTCACCACACCCACACCCACACCTACACCCACACCCACACCTTCATATGCACCCCTAAAGAAGAGATAATTATATGCCTGACGTGTTTTTACGTTGGTGATATGAAAGAGAAAAATCACTAGACTGGCATTTTCGACGAATTTTGATCACGCAAAAAAACCCAGTCTCTATACAGGTAAAAGAGAGACATGAAAAAAAACACTTTTTTTTACAATAATACCACCATTATTTTATTTGTTTTTCTAAATAAAGTATTCATACAAGTGCACAACCAATAAATTCATCTGACAGTAATTTTAATTTTTTTTCCTGCAAAATTGATGTTGTGCTCGTTAGTATATTCATTAGATTAGTTCATTGTTTTGTTTGGTCGCATTCTTCTTGCTGTAATAGAAAAAAAAATGAAAACCATATCATGATCATATCTATTTTAAACCTCAGTGATCAATGTTATTATTCAAAAACTCAATGATTTTTTCAATGTTTATACGTAGGAAAAGGAAAACATATATTTTCAATTATTTCCTTTTCTAAAAGAAAGGGGGTGGGTAAGGGTATTGAATGAAAAGAACACTCAAACCCGTACCCACACCCTCAAGATTTTTTTTAGATTTTTCATTTTCATCATATTATATTTGTTTTATTTTAATAAATAAAGTTAAAGGTAAAAAAAATCTCGTCTAATTTATTCAATGCAGAATTGAAATTGTTCAAATCGACAGAATCTAATTGATTGGAAGAATAACAAGAGTCTTTTATAGAATAATTATTTTATGAAGTCGTTTATGCAAATACAATAGAATAAAATAACTGTTTGATAAAGTAAATCAATGAAGGAAAAGATTCATTTAAAGACTTGAAATACTTCGAATTTTGACAAGAGATATTACTATAGGAATAAGTTCCACCATATATCATATTTTATTTATCGATCTCTACTCACAATTTTGTTTTTTTTTCGAGAAATATTTTGTGTAAAGTTTAGTTATTTTTCTTAAATTGCCAGAAATTATCCAAGATTCTCTTATAACTCTACAGATTTCAATAAATTATACTTTGTAAAAATTTATTTTAAAACATCGATTTGTAGTAAAAAACGTAATTCAAAATTTATTATTCTTATAAACATTTTATTTGTATTGTAAATATATATAATAAAAAAAAAGTAACATTACAATTAAAATACAAAGCTCTTTCAAGATAATTATTATTTTGTTTCCATTGTGAAGCTTCAAAGCTCATCCTTAGAGCAAAAAAAACAAGTTTAATAGGATCATACGAAAGAAAATTATTATTTATGAAACTATGATTAAAATAAAATATTTCAAAAGTTGAATTATTCTTTTTTTGAGTAAAATAAGATCTCAGACATCTTTATAACAACAGTTAGTATTTATTTTTCCCTATAAAAATATAATTAATGTCTATAGAAATAATTGACATGATATCAATATAGAGAACACATAAATTATAAACTGATGTGAGAGTAAAATCTATCAATTATTAATAGAAAAGAATAAAAAGAAAAAATTAACGATATTACATGTTCATAAAAATGATTTCTATAATAATATTTTATATATTCGAAATTTTAAAATGAATACAAAAAAAATAATTATAATTAGACTGATTCATGTTTATATGAATATATAAATTTGATAAAATATCGTTTGACGATAATTGCTTTTTTTCTCACTTAAAATAATATGAATATATTGTTATTTCCTTTATTAACAACTTATATACACAATTTTTTTTCTTATAAGTACGAACACATTAAAAAAAGAAAAGATAGTTCTTCAAAAATTAATTATTCATTTCAATAAAAAGTTTTTTCTCCGACAATATATTTTTCTTAAAATGTGTCGTATTTTTTTTTCTTTATGTTGAAGATGAGTATACGTAATATTTTTTTCCATTAGGTTAAATAAAACAGATTATTATTTATTGTTAATCAAGTTATAACGAATAGTAAACATTATCCTTATTAAACCTCTCAAATTTGTTTGTCTGTTGCTCGACTGCCTTTTTTCAAAAATTTCTCTAATAGTTAAATTTATATCAATTTTGACGTGTATGAACAAATATTACACATTTTTTTAACTAGATTAAATCTCTCTCTCTTTCACTTTCAAAAATATTATTAATATAATATGTAGTCAACTCTTAAAACATTTCCAGCCTACTTAATATTTTCTTTTTCGTAGAGAAGAGTCTAACAGAAATAAATTGTTTGCTTGTATGTCTGCACTTCACTGATTGATCTAAGACTTAGTTAAAGATATAAGAGAAATTTTTTGATAAAAGTTGACCGAAGAGTAATCGGTTCTACGAGAAAGAGCTGAGCGTCTCCAGACGAGCGTTATTTGTTTTGTATTAGCATAGATCTAGGAGTAGGTATTTTTCCTCTCCATATCACATCCACACCCTCAAATTAGTTTTTATAATCTTGTCCGCACATTAAATAGTTCTATATAATATATATTTTATAAATTATTTTTTTTCTTTTATTATAAATATTTATTATAAAAGCAAAAGAATGAATATTCTTATCCCAATGGGTGGTATTGGTCATCGTTTTAGTAAAGAAAATTATCGTTTTCCGAAACCATTAATAAATATTGTTGGACGACCAATGTTATTTTGGTTATTAGATCATTTAGATACCGAAGAAGATGATATAATTTATCTTGGAATATTGGAAAGTTTAGAAAAACAATTTGATTTAAGTCAAACATTAAAAATTGAATATCCAAAACGAAAATTTGAAACAATTATTTTAGATTTTGAAACACGAGGTGCTGTTGAAACATTATTTATAATGTTACAAACAATAAATATTGATCGTTTAAAATATAAAACAATATCACTTGATTGTGATACAATTTATTTTGAAAAAATTTTAAAAAAATTTCGTCAATTATCAAATCAAATGAATGCATCATTCTTTTTCAAAGATAATATTGGTAAACCAATTTATTCATATTTAAAATTAGATGAAGATATTACTCAAGAAAATTATCCTTTAATAAAAGATGTACGAGAAAAAATCATGATATCAAATAATGCAAATACAGGTGCATATGCATTTCGTTCAGGTTTTATTTTAAAAGAATATTGTATTCAAATTATTGATCAATCAGTGGGTGATTCAGGTGAATATTATACAACAAATATTATTAAATTAATGTTAGATAATCAAGAAGATTTTGTTGGAATTGAAGTTAATTTTCAAGATTTTGTTTGTGTTGGTACACCTGATCAATTAAATGAATTTTTAAAAAATTTAAAATTAAAAAAAAATTTAATTAATATTAGAAAAATGAGATTTTGTTTTGATTTAGATAATACATTAGTTTCTTATCCAACAATATATGGAGATTATAATTCAGTTGAACCAAAAATTCATAATATTCAATTAGTTAGAGAATTACATATGGCTGGACATTATATTATTATTCAAACAGCAAGAAGAATGAAAACACATCAAGGTAATGTTGGAGCTGTTATTGCCGATATTGGAAAAATTACATTAGAAACATTAACTAAATTTAATATACCTTATGATGAATTATTATTTGGTAAACCATATGCTGATGTTTATATTGATGATTCAGCCATTCATGCTTTAATTGATACAACTAAAGAAATAGGTTGGTCACTTGAGAAAAATGTTTTAGATAATAATAATAATAATAATGGAAAAAAAATCGAAGGTTTTGTTTGTTCTCGTCATTTTCATACAATTGAACAATTAGATAATTTAATTGTTAAAAGTTCTTCAATTGATGATCTTCAAGGTGAAATTTATTTTTATAATAATATTCCATTAAATATTAAAGATTTATTTCCAAAATTACATCGTATTGAAACAAATAATCATGCAAATATTTCATCAATAATTATTGAAAAAATCTCCGGTACAACTTATTCACATTTATTTACAAATTTATGTTTAACTGAAGGTCGTCTATTAAAATTTCTATCATCATTAAAATCAATTCATTCATCATTATCATTCGATTCAATTAATAATATGAAGGCAAATATTTATGAAAATTATTCATCAAAAATGTTATTTCGTTATGAAAAATACAATGAAATTTATCTAAATTTAGATCAATATTTTGAAAATTCATCAATAATTAATTCAAAAGATTTACTTGATTATTTTTTAAAATATTTTAATCAATATGAAATATCTTTACGTGCTCAACATAATGCAATAATTCATGGTGATCCTGTATTTAGTAATGTTTTATTAACACCATCAAGTCATGTGATATTTTTAGATATGAGAGGATCATTAGGAAAACAAATGACACTTCAAGGTGATTTAAATTATGACTTAGCTAAAGTTTATCAATCATTAACGGGTTATGATTTTATTTTATTAAATAAAAATCATTTATTATCAACAACAATAGTTCAAACATATCTTTTACAACTTAATGAAATATTTCAAAATTTTATTTTAAAAAATTATTCAAATAATTTTAATTTTAATGATTTAAAAATGATAACAGCACATTTATATTTTACTTTAATACCATTACATAACAATTTTCAACATCAATTACAATTCTATAAACTTGCTATTGATTTATATAATCAAACTTCTTTCAATTTTAACTAAATATTAATTCAATAAAAAACAATATATTATCTGAAATTATTTTTCCTTTTTGATTATTTATTATATATTCTATAGAATCATTAATTAATACTAATTAGATAAAACCAAAATCTATTTTTAACAATAAATAACACTTGTCGAAAGACTCGCTCAGCTCTTTCTCAGAGAAATCGCGTTACTAAACAATTACTCAGCTATTGATTTATATAATTAAAAAAATAGAAGTCAGATTTGAATCCTTCGACTTCGATTACCCTTATAAAAAAAAATTCCTTTTATATCTTTACTTAATTTTTGAACCAATCATTGAAGTGCGGACACACAAGCATACAATCTATTCTTGCAAGACTCTTCTCTACGAAAAAGATACTTGCCTTATATTAAATAAATCCTATGTTGCTTATAGAAACAAAACTATTTAGTATTGGTAAAAGTTTATCAGTGTAGACGTGTACAGGTCTTAAAGTGAAATTTTACACTAACAAAATTCATATGAAATTTTTTCGTAAATGTGTAGAAAAGCGATCAAAATATTATCACCTAATTAACTTCTAAAAAAAGAAAGTGTTCATTTTTGTTAGAAATTTCTAAATTGACATAAACTTATAGGAAGATAGCCATGGTCTTCAGATCTTTGAAAAATAAACTTTTCTCTCAGTTTACACTTTTTCAATTTTACATCTAAATTTATTCTATCCAGACTCGTTAAATAGATTTCAATATTTGTTGCTGTTTTAAAGAGCATATCAAGATACAGTACAAGATTAAATCCACTTTTATTATATATAGGCAAAATCATTTATTAAAGACATGAGACTTTACAAAATTAAAATATACATATCTCAGAAATGAAGAACCTTTTCCTAGCTAATTTTTATTAATAGAAAAACTAGCGTTAGTAACGTTAATTAAATAGTACAGTCCACAGATAATTCAGAGGACTTTAAATTACTACTCATAGTATATTCCGATTATATACAGCTTTACAAAAAATTGATTTACTTTTTCGTTAGTGAGGTGACGCAGTACGAATATGCAAAAGAAAAACTGCTCTTAAAGAAACTGAAAGATACGAATCCTTCCTTGCAAGCTTCATATAATGATAAGGCACCTATTTTTGGACTCCGAAAGTTCGACTGATATTTACTAAGTAGTAGATAAAAGCACTAACATTTGTATATATTCAAACAAATTTGACTTGAACGATTTAGATATATATGAGCTGAGATCAATTTTTCTGAGTTAACCTTCAACTGTGGTTATTCATGACAATATAAGCGAGAAATAGATGGAATATTTCTTTTATAAAAACAATTTTAAGTTTTGTTTCTATTATTGCCTTGAAAATAAATTTCGAATTGAAATAATCAAATATAAATTGTTATCTTTATATCAAACGAAAAAAAAACTTGAGTAAATGTATCATTGAAGATATGAATAATATATTTGCTGAGAAATAATTCATCTGTTATTATGAATCAAATACTATTTTTAACCTTGATACAATTATTTTTCAAATTAATTAATTAAATCAAATCTTAGTTTTTATATTATTTAAAAATAAATTTAGTTAGTTTTGTTTTTGTCTCAAGAAAATCTTTAATATTCATATAAAAATTTTCTTGTAACTTATCGATATATTCAAATAAAAAATGTAACAAAAAAAAATAGTATTTATTTATTTATTTTGAGTCAATATTTGAATAAATCCTATATATAAATACGGTTAACATTCATTTGATTTTATCATTTTAAAATATTTTAGAATAAAAAAAATATATTCGTCATGATGAAGAATTTAATTTTATTGATTGTATTAGTTATGATTTATATTGGTAAAAAAATGAAACTTATTTTTTTTTAAAATAATTTATCTATTTTAGATTATACAACTGGCACATCATGTTATTATTGTGCTGATTGTCCTATTCCATTTAATGCTAAATTAAATTCTGTTACAGTAAATACATTAGCATCGGCAAACTGGTGTGCTGTAAGAATATTTCACATATCGTTATTAAAATATTTATGTATATATGTATTTAGAAAAAAAGTTCAACAGCGGATCCGCATGCTCGAAATAGTCGAGGTCCTGCTGAACCTGGTCTTTGTACAGCACATGGATGTTCATGGAAAACCGGTCCTTCTGGTCAAGCAATATGGACTTGTTGTTGTCAAGGAGATTTTTGCAATTGTGGATAAAAAATACAATTTAATTTATTAACATTATTTATCTCATATCTTTTCTTTTTGTTTTGTTTTTGGTGATGGAATTTATATTTTATTTTCAATATATTATTTAACACAATGGGATAAAATATTTAAAAAAAAATATCATTTCAATTTTGTATTTAAACGATCAGTATTTTATTGAAAGTGTGGGTTGCGTATCGCATTCATCAGCCACACCTACCCTTTCTTCTTAATTTCACACGTTACAGTATCGTTTTAAGTCATTCTTATCATCAAAAACATAAACTGGTACTCCCATAATTCTCAACGTTGTTATCACTTTAAAATAAAATCAGTGAGAATGACTTTGATGAATCAAAAATTCTATTTAGTTTGATTCATAAAGTGAAATAGTTATAGACAGATGATCAAGAGAAACATATTGCGAATTATCTTCTTTGTTGAATTAAAAAGTAATGAATGAAGATAACATATTTATCTTATATCGAACTGGGTGTGGGTATAAACAGAATTCAACCACACCCTCACCCTATTAAGAAAAAACTAGGATGAATGAATATCCGACTTTTTATTTAAATATAGTTTATTCATGTGATGAAATGATGTTACCTCCGAATAATTTATAATAATTCTACGAAGTTATAATGAATAGATACATATTCAGCTAACAATTAAACGAAGAGGAAAATGATGTTTCAAGAAAATTCTTAGAGCTTACAGAAAACAGATGGAAGCAGAAATATTCTCATTCGATATTCTATAATAAAATATGGTTTAATAAAATAATCTCATATTAGAATGAGCCTTTATTTTGATTATTAAAAAAAGAAATGCTTGATATTCGTAAGAAATTTCGTTTTCGATATACTAATTTGAAATGAAAAAACAAATTCTAGAAACAATAATTAGGAATACAACAATTCCAATTCCAGCCGATTCTAGAATTGGAATTGGAATTGATCAAGAATTGAGTTGACATGGAATTGACTCAAAATGACTAGAAATCGTAGGAACTTTTATGTCATTTGCTGAAACTGTTTGAAGCTAAGACTAGATTAGTACGGATCACCATAAACTATAGAAAATTGATCTAATTCAGCCAGTATTTGTAGGAAAAAATTCTATACGTGATTTAGAATAGAAATAAACCATTGTTATTTCTATTCGAATGTATTCTAATTTTTATTAATTCTAGCGATTAAGGACTAACAATAGTTATTCAGTTCTGTGTGAGTTCTGATCAATTCTAAGTCAATTATAGAAAAAATTTCACAAATACTGGCTGAAGCAGATCAATTTCCAGTAATTTATAGTGATCTGTACTAATTTAGTCTTAGCTTCGATCAGTTTCAGCGTATGGTAAGAAAGTTCCTGCGATTTCGAGTCAGTTCCATATCAATTTCAACTAATTCCAGTCAATTCAATTCTTGACCAATTCTAGAATCGGAACCGAACCGAATTGGAACTAGTGTATGCCTAATAATAATATGATTAAAGTTTCGTTTTTTTTAAATATTTTTTTGTTTGTAATGAATATTCATTGAATAATAATAAAAAATCTTTGAAAATCAAATCTAATTTTAAAAATTAATCTATGATGATTTTAACTTCTCATAAATAAATATGGATGATATTACTTTAATATTATCTCGTATATGTTCATATTTATTTAATAAAATAATATAATTTTACAAATATGTTTTCATCTTATTATATACAAATGTCATATGTTGTTTGTAAATATGTAACAGGTTTATATTCGTAACTTACATAGGTTACTGGTTCGTCATAGATTGTATAATAACGTGGTGAAGAGTCTCTAACATAAGTTATTGGATCATTATAAATTGTATAATAACGTCGTGAAGTATCTCTAACACAAGTTATTGGTTCGTCATAAATTGTATAATAACGTCTTGAAGTATCTTTAAGATAGGTTATTTCATAAATATCATCATATAAATCACGACAAATATAATCATCATAATTATAAACTATGAGCATTTTAATATCAATTATATAACACGTAAGAAATATTTGTGTACGATATTGATTGATTTGTGAAATTCTAACAATATTTCTCTCTCTATATATACCAAGAAAGTATGAGAAAACATTGAATTGTTGCACGTGAGCATAACAATCTATCTAAAATAGAGTATCATTATTTTTCTTTCTGTGTAGTATGTATCGAACATAAATTAGTATAACATACCACTTTTTACTAAAATGTGAAATTACCTTGTATTGACATTTAGTTTTTCTAATATTGAAAATATATGAATTTCAATATTTTAACAAACTGTTATTTTCTTTTTACGTATGAACCGTGTTGCAACAATTTGTTTTTTTCTAAAGTGAAAATTGATCAAACGAAACAAATTTTGGCTATAGTGTTTGATCAAAAAATTGATAACATAGAAAAAATATGTATTCTCATTCACATCAACAACAATGATGTAGTAAAAAAAACAATCATCAGATATAAAGAAGATCTTCTAATCCATAGAATGATTTCTACTTCTTTGTATGAAATTAAACCACGGTCTTGAAAGGGGTAAGGACAAATATATATATGTACGTATTCTTTATGACTAAGATTGATGAGACCACGTTATTTTCTTCGGTGTAGAACGCAAGAATAAAAATGACTGCACTCCTTTCTATATACTTCAATAGGCAGAACAAAACAAAAATAATCACGTGTATTTTTCTCGTAAATAATGCTTTTTTTCATTCTTAGTCTAAAGTAGAAGACCGTTAATATTTTTCTTATTTTCTATACTGCATTATTTCATTCGAATATGTCTTTATTATCGATATTAGTTGTTGGCGCTACGGGTAATACAGGATCATCTGTTGTTAAACATTTATCTGGACTAATTTCTAATTCATCATCATCATTGGATCAACAACCTTGGCAAATAATTGCTCTTACTCGTGATGCAAATAGTACAGCATCGAAACAATTATCTCAACTTAATCATGTTGAAATAAAAGAAAAAGATTGGACTGCAATCGATAGTACTTGGTTGATTGAAACAAAAATCTCTCGTGTATATTTAGCACCACATAATCTACCTCATCAATTTAATGATGAAAGTAAATTCATAGTTGAATGTAAATTAGCAAAGATTAATTATCTTGTAAAGTTATCAACAAATATTCATTATGTTACACCAGATAATCCTGTTTATTACGGACGTGCTCATTGGGCAGTAGAACATTTATTAGAACAAAATGAATTTAAACAATTAAATTGGACTGTATTACGCGCTAATTATTTTATGAATTCACTGATATTACCAGCTCTTGGATGGTTAAAACAAAAGAATACAAATGATCCTTTACCATTGATGCTTGATGAACATGCTCCGATTGCTATGATTGATCCTCAAGATATAGGAGAAGTTGCAGCTAAATTATTATCATTAGAAGATCCATCATCACATTTCAGGAAAAAGTATAATTTAAGTGGACCGGAAGATGTTACTGGTAAAGATGTTGTTTCAATACTTGAACAAATTACTCAGAAGAAAATTCAAGTTAACTACAGAGATTTAACTTTATTTAAAGCTTATACGGAGAAAATGGGTTATCCAAAGAGTGTTTCAGATTCGTTAGAATCCGGAAGACGTGATAATTTATGGATAGGATTATCACGATTAGAAAATACACCAACAAGTCCAGAAATCTTACAATTAGCACCACCTCATTCAACAATCAAACAATTTATTCAACAAGCTTTTAATCAATAGTTTATTTTATTTAGAAACATTATGACTCATATATATTCTAACTCTTTTACAGACAACAACATGAATAAATTTTTACTTTTCTTTTTTAAAATTAAAACACTTATATAGAGTTCAAATCAATTGGCTGTGTTAAAGAAAAATAAAATATACTTTTTTAGATTAAATATTCAAAATCTGAAATGAATATTTCACTTCAAATTAAATTTCTTATGAACTATTCAGTTTTCTCATAAAATATTTTCGATATATGTTCTTTTCAATGAATATTCATTACGATCAAAAGAAAAACATTTATTATAATATGTAACATTGAATAGATATAAATTAATCGCATAACAAAAACCATGGGTTTTCACAAACCTTGATCGAAGGGTAATCGGGGTCGAGGAACACGAATCTGATGTTAGTTTTTTTGAGAATCATTTTCTTGACAAAGAGCTGAGCGAGTCTTTCTTGTTTTAATTTAATAAATAAGAATAATTTATGTAATAATTGGTAGAACAATATTTGTTCGTCTAATAATTTTTTTCATAATAAATATTTTAATTTGATCTGTAAATTGAAATAAAATAATAATTACAAATAATAATGATATATCAACAAATATATAAGCAATACGAAAATGATATTTAGGTAAATTTACAAAAAATGAGAGAAAAAAAAACATTGTATAAGGAAAACCAATGATTATAACACCAGTAACAAGAATAATAATACGTCGAACCATTTTTAATTCTGATTGTGCACGAATTAAATTATTAACTAATATGATATTTTTATTCATTTTTCGTACATATTTTATTAATTTTAAATAAATTAAAATAAGTAATGATAAAGGTATTAAATAAATACAAAATGCATTATAAATTGTTATAAAAGATAAATGTAATGGCATTTGACATATTTGATTATAAACATTATATTTTATTTCATTAAGTAATATATATGGTATTGGACATAATAAACTAAATATCCATGTTAAACAAATAAGAATTAATTGAAATTTAATTGTTTGATAATATCGACGAGTCGGATAAATAATAATTAGATATCGATACATAGCTTGTAATAAATAAGAATAATTTTGTAAAGAAGTAACAACATAACCAAAATAACCACGAAATAAACATAAAGAATCTTGATATTGAATTTGTTTAAGATCATTTTCAAATGTAAATAAACCCATACTAAACATATTTATTCCATAAATAATTTCAGTTAAACATGAATTACCAATAAGCATTATTGAAACCGTATGACATGTTTTATCGTATATAATAATTAAAAGAAAAATTATACCAAATAGTATACTTAAACCAGTAGATAATATTAAAAGAATATCAATTGGAATAAACCATGATTCAATATTTATTATAATAGATTCATTTTCTAATTGCATTTCTATGATTTGAATAAATTATAAGCTATTGTTTTTTTGTATTATATGAACCATTTGACAATGAAAACCTAAGAAAAAGTATATGATGTTTAGATAGAAAATATTTTCCACGATAATAAACTAATAACGTCATTAGGAGATTTTTTAAATCTAATAACAACTAATAAGTGTAACAGAGCAAAATATTCTACTTAATTTAATATATTTTCTTTTTTCAAAGATAATCATTAAATTGGAAATAATTAGTATTATATATGCTTGATGAATAATATTATTTCTTGTCAATTACAAATGGAATAAAATTTTCTCTTTCTCCTCGTGGACATTTACAAAGCAAATTATAAATATGATTTTCATATCCAATGAAAGCACTTCGAAAATGGGAATTATTGGTAACAAATACTGAAGATTATGAAAATATACTCATTCGATGCAGCGTGAAAACTGCATCGAATAAATATATTCAGTGTTTTATCTAGCGAGTGGGCGGCGCCTACCCACAATTTCAATTCGCCCACCCAAGATACGAGACTTAGACAAAGGACCGTTAGGCGGCGCTCACACAGAATTTTATTTTACCCGCCTGGCAGTTCGATTCGCACATCCGAAAAAAGAAACCTGGATATATTCCCATATATCCTGTTTAGAATTGTTTTAAATACGTACACCTCTGTAGAGCTTTACCAAACTATGTAAAAATATCCAAGAAAAACATTTTACTTCATTTTCAAATAAGTTTAACATTAAAAAAGTTTTTATAACTCAAACTATTGGGTAGTGGCGGACGCAGCGATGTGGGCGTGGATGATATAATACATTTAATATCACACTCACACCCTTTGTAAGACAAGTTTACCAAACGATTCACTAGAATGATAAAATGAGATTTGTAATTGTCCAAATTTCTTTAAAGAATATAATTGGCATGTCAGTTAGAATGAAATTCTGTAAGCCACCATCAGCAGCAGCAAAAAATATACCTTTAGGAGAAAAAAAAGCAACAAAAGCTTTATTGATACAATAACTGTACACTTAGCTATTCACGAATCTTCACTGAACAGAATTTATATAATTACTTATTAGTTTAGAATACTTTACATAGAAAAGTACATTTTTTGACTTCGAACTCTCTTGAATATATTGAATTTTTTACTCAGCATTTACTTAAAACTACTTTGAATTTAAATATGAGTCTTTAAAATCTATTTAAAATAAAAAAATAGTTTATAATAGTTAAAATGAACTTTAGTGTTTCTGAATATATTTTTTATAAAAGAAAAGCAATGTTTTATAATCATGTCCATCTTTGAGTTTAGCATCCCATGCTGCATTAAATTTGACTGCAAAAGTTGGATCATCTAATTCCATAGATTCTGTTAATTTATAATTAAATTTAATTCGTTTAATACTATCAAATTTTGCTAAATTATTCGTAATAGTTTCTGTTAAACTTCGTGTACCATCCATAAATACATTAACTAATAAACCTTTTGTATCTAATAACCAATATTTATATCCACCATTCCAATTATGATCCATTGATAATTTTGCATTATAACGTCCTGTACCAATACACATTAAATGATATTTAACTGGTTTTTTCCATTGCATTCTTATTGCCCATAATGCTGCTAATTCAGGATCATTAGCAAATACTCCACCATCAAGAAATGTTTCATCTTTACCATCTCGTTCATAAATACCATTCACATTCTTTTTCCTCTTATACATTGTACAAGGTCGAAAATAAGTTGGAGCAGCCATTGTCGCTTTTAATACATCTGCTATACGATAACCCCAATGTTCACTATAACTTGTATTAAATATAGTCATACAATCGTTTGTTGTATTATAAGCTGTTATAAGTAAAACTTTCTCACGTTCTCTCATTGTAGGATTAGTTGGATTATCATCAAATTCTAACCAATTACTATGATATTGATGATCTAATTCAGATGTTGGATCATTAGTTGTACAATGTGGATTTAATAAATTATGTATATCAAGTAAAGTTGCATCTTTAGCTGATAAGTTTCTTTCTTTTAGAAATGGAATATTATCAATAATATAATCAATTTTATTATATATTGGTGTAGGATCATATTTATCCCATAGAACTGGCCCATATTTTGTTAACCATTGTCGTTTAAAAAATTGTTCAGCTTTTTCATAGATTTCCTTAATATCAGATAAATCATGATTAACAGCTAAACAAAAAGCAATAAGTCCACCTGTACTTGTACCAACAAGATAATCAAATGCATCAATAAATTTTGATTGAGCATCAATAAAACTTGTATTATGTTCAGGATAAATTTCTGTTATAAGTTGACAAAGAACTTTAAAAGACATATGACCACGTGTACCTATTAAAAACAAAAAAAAACTAATATGAAAACAGATGTTTATTTATTTTACCTCCACCATCTAAACTTAATATATTGATATTAGTTTCATGTCCTTGAGTATAATATTTTCCAATTAATGCAAGTAATTCAGATTCTGTAACTTCTCCAGATTCTGATGTTAATTTAACTTCAGCATGTGATGAAGGTTTTTGTAGTTGTTTTAATTTATGTATAATATGATTCATTTGATAATCATTATCAATTCTATTATTATGACGTATTTTATTCAATTGTGAATTTATCGTTTTACCAAAATTATTCTCCAAATTTTCTATAGCTTCTTCGACTCCTACAGGAGACATATATTGATTAGTTATTACTTCATTTGGATCTGATTCAGCATGTAAACTTTTATGATAGTCTTGAATTTTTTTCGGTAAATTTTCATATGGAACATTTTCACAATTATGGCATAAATCAAATTGTTTACATTTTGTACATCGTTTCCATTCAACACGATCTATACTTATATGACAATTGTCACATACAAAACCCGTAGATATTTCAGTACAAGATTCGAATAATTTATCAGTCATTATAATAAAATTCGATTTCAAAATAATATCTAAAATATTTGAAACGATCATATAAATTTAGCTTCACGTATATGACGAAGATTAAAAGAAATTAAGTTGTCTAGGTACTTCACATGAATGTGACCTATATTATTTGTAAGGAAAAGAAAGTAGATAAACAAATATAGTTAGACGAGAGAGCAAAGGTTATTCACATGGTCGATAGAAAGAAAAAAACAACAACAACGTTTTCGCGAGAATAGAAATATATTTACAAGAGGAAGAACAAAAAATATAAGATTTTTCTTGCAGCCTAGCATGTCGATCGTAGGAAAGAGAAAAACAGTGCTTATCGTCTTAATGTTTGACGTGAAAGAATAAAAAAACAGTATAGATGCCGATACTAATCAAATATATTATTATTACATATTCATTTTAACCATAAAATCGATCATCAATATATATGTATAGGAGAAACAAAAGTCAGATTTATTCTAATTTTGTTTTACAACTAAACAAGTAACGCTCGTCTGGAAACTCGCTCATCCCTTTCTCGTAGAAATGATATGTCTTATCGCTATCAGTAAACTATTTATTCAAACAATTTCAAAAGACCGACTTTAGATTTGAATTCCCCGATTTTGATTACCTTTCGGTCAGCCCTTATAAAAAGAAATTACTTTTATATCTTTACTTAATTCTTGGATCAATCAATCAATCAGACAATTTATGTTTACTGGACTCTTCTGTACGAGAAAGAAAATATATTTTATTAAAGACGAATTATCTTATTCAAAATAAGAAAAAATGGTATAAAATTCTCTTTTTTCCATTATAAATATATCGTTCAATCTAAAGTTTACTAATTGTTTCAATTGAATTTAGTTCAGTTTGAGATGTTAAACAAGTTTTCGAATTTTTTCTTTGATTATTTTCATATATAAATGAATCCGATTCAATGCTTCCTTTTAGATGAGTTTGTATTTTTGAAATTGAATCATTTGTATTTGATGAATGTAAATCATTCAACAGAAAAATTCGATGATAAATTTTTTTGAATAAATAAACAATTGATTGACATATTGGTTTAATAAGAAGTTTGATAAATAGAAAAGAGAAAGCAAATAATTCAATACATAATGAAGTAAATAATAAACTATGAAATATTAATTCAGCTGTTCGAACAATAGGTTGTTGAATATTTTTTATATAAAATGGACGTTCATCAAGCATTATTTGAAGTATAGTTGATGATGATGTATAACGTAAATAATTACCAAATTTAACATAATATTCTTCATCTGAAAGTGGTACAGTTGTAAATGTTGGCATCCATATACCTGAATACAGAACTGGATCTGTTGGATTTAATGATTGTGTCATATTTATATTTTTAACAAATACAATTGGTATATATGTATATCGACTTATAGCTTGATTAGGTGTAGAATAAAATTCACAAAAATCAAGTTCACGTAATGTATTACTACCACTTATTTGACCATGTCCACGAATACATAAACGAATAGCTCCAATCCAATATGGACCACTAATATTTATTTGTATAGTTGTTAAATGTCTTGGTAATGAAAATGTAACGGATGTTGTTGCTGTTGTTATTGTTTGTTGACAATCAATTATTAATGGAACATATTTTGAACTAATAAGATTTTCTTGTGCAGTTATTGAATTACATGTAAATCCTGTATTTATTAATTCAGCAGTTAAATTAAATATTTGTTTATCAAGAAGATCAAATATTGGTTGTGCACTTTCAGATTTTGGAATAGCAAGTAATACAAGACCAGTAGAAAATTGTGCATTAACTAATGATAGATCACAAGAAAATTTAGCTGATTGAAATATATTTTCAATTGGATATCGTCTTATAAATGATGCCGAAAACCAATAAGAAAATGAAACAAGAACAATTATAGCTAATGTTGTTAAACCACCAATCCACATTTTACCTTCACCAATAATATCAGTATGTTTAAATATTTTCTTCATTGTTTTACTATATTTTATACATGGTTCATATCCACATAAATCAATAGTAACAATAAATAATATAAATAGAAAACATAAAGTACTAGCAATGATTGTCCAAAGAACAGGTGAAATTAATAAACAATGTGGATCATTACCAATTTGAAAGATATTTTTTAAAAGAATATCTTCAATATCTGTTGTATCTGCTGTTTCAGGATAGGCAACTGCTTGACTATAAGAAGATATTGTAGTTAAATTAGTAATATCAGCTAATGATGCAAGTGGACAAAACGAATTTGAACATGGTATACATTGAGTAATTTCATAGGAGAATGTACCAGGATTTCGTGTATTTGAAGGACAAATTTGACAAGGACCTAAACTTGAACGATTTTTATAAGTTCCACCAATACAAAGTTTTGGTTGAAAATAAAAAACATAAGTACGTTCAATATTATAAATCCAACTTGAAGTATAACCAGCAGATGCAAGTGGAATAATTAATATATCAGCTTTATCTGTAAGTATAGCCATATTACCTTTTATAGTTATACCAAATCGAGCAAATGATGGACGTGATAAACGACTACCGATTACTTGTTGATTATTAGGAAATGTAAAGATTGGAGATGTAAGTGTTACGGAATTTTCACGATAAAAAAATATTTGTGTTGTTGACCATGATGTTTCAAATGGATCTTGAACTAATATAGCTATTGTTGTATCATCAGCCCAATCAACGACACGACATACGGAATTTGATGAAAGAAAAGAGAGTATATGTATACGATTAATAGTTAATGATAATCCATAGTTTTGAAGAATAACAACTGACGAAACACGAAGTATTCCAATAAGTATTTTATTACCACGAATAGCAACTGATAATTCATATAAATCATTGTATGAAACAACATTGGATGGAATTAAAAATGTTGATTCATTAGTTACGGATATACAAGATGCATTTATTAATGTTGAAAGATCAATTAAACATCCAAGTGTACCATAATTATGTCTATTTTCATCTGCATATCCATAACCAGCAACGACTCCCCATGTATCAGCTATATCCATTGCATGTGGTATAAAACCTTGAGATGGCCAAACAGAATCTGTTGTTAAATTTAAAATAATTTTATTTGCATAAATATCTAATTTAAATACAAATAAACTCGTAAATCCATATGCAAAAGTTCCATTTGTATCAACACCAATTAAGAAATATTCTTGATGAGATCCTATTATACCCATATCTGTACATGAATAAGAATAACTACATGTTGATTTTGTAATAATACCAATACAAACATACGGAGACATTGTTGAGATTTTTTCAGCAGCAAAAACAAACATAAATTGTTCAGAATTCGTACTACTATTTTTAGCAATACCTATTACAGCAACACTATGAACAAAACGATCAGTTGTATTATATCTCATATTACATAATATAGATCCACCATCAGTAGTATTTCGAAATGGATAGAGAAGAACAGCAAAATTATAGAAAGCATTTGATGCTGAAACAAACATATCATCGTTAACAGACATTCTCGTACCTGGATAAACATTAATTAAATCATATTGACACCAGGAAATGTTAAAAAATATAAGAAAATATATAACACGAAGTAACATTTTCATCTACAATTAATCAAAATTATTTTTTGTAATATGCCTTATGTACAAGTAACGCTCGCACAGAGACCCCGCCCAGCTTTTTCTTGTAGAAACGATGTGTCGTCACTACTAGTAAACTATTTATTCAAACAATTTCAAAAAGCCGACTTCAGATTTGTGATTACCCTTCAATCAATCAGTGAAGAACTGTAACATTACTCTTACTTACTTCCTCCAGTGTTTAAATAATTTCTTTACCCTGCATGATATGTTATTCAACTAAACTACGTATTATTCGTTTACCTATTTTCTTTTGATAGAGTATGTTAAAAGGTTTTTTTTGTTGATCGAATATTTATATTGCAAAGAATAGAACAAAAATATTCGACAGAATGAAAACGTTATAAATTGATATCAAATTTTTTTTCAACACAATATTAAATATTGTAGTTCACAAAATATAATCAAATTTTTCTTTTTCTTGTTCACACATTCAATGCATAATCTTTTTTTTCTGATATTAACTCTGTTTTATATTTTATACATTACATGACGAGGAAAAAAAACATTAATATGTTTGATTAATATATGTGTATAGAAAAGAGAAGTAATTATTTATTCTATTCAATATATATTTACAGAATTGATTAATAGAAAGAAAAATATTATTACATTTCTTTTCGTTAAATTTTTCTCATATGTAGATTTATATAAAGAATTGTACACAAGTTATAACTCTATAGTTGCAAAAATATATAAATGTATGAAAATTTGTTTTTATGAATAAAACGATGTAGTACTTCACATACATCTCATCAAAAGAAAATAATCGATTGGGCACGCGTTTTATACTTGAATGTCATCATTTAATATTTTCAAATGATAAATATGTTTATTTTAATCGAGTAATTGCATGAGTTTTCATTATTGTAAAAAGTACTAATTTCTTCTCGAATGATATTTATCAAGATTTCAATTTTTTGTTAACAGTTGATGACAGATATTCGAATGAGTTATGACTCAATAGTATACAATTATAATTTACATAAATATTTATTTTTCGAATTGTCGATTAAACTCTGATATTCTGTTCATGAACATAGAGTACAAACTGTCATACAACTTTTCCACTGCATTAATTTTTATTCATTTCATTTATTTCGAATACAGAAAAGGTTTTGCATGCATAGAGTATGGCATGAAAGATTAAGTAATATCTATACTTATCGTATATATAACTTATGTAAAAAAATACAAGATACATGATAAAAATATTCCAGAACGACAGAACTGGTCGAGTCAAATTATTTTTCTATTATTTCGTTCTCTGTTTATTTCAATGTAAATATGTTAACAACAAATTGTTTATGACGCGTCACACAGTTTTCTACTCTGTATGTATAAAA